ATCAGATTTGTTAGCACACAGTATATTTCACAACCATCTGAATTAGAAATGAACCTACCAGTATTTAATTCTATGGGCATCAATTGCACGTTTACAGAAGGTATTGACACAAACCACACATGGTAAGGACCATGTCAACTTGGATTGAAAGAATTAACTTTCATTTGGGTAATTCAACAAACCTGATGACCGAAAAAGAGTTTGCAAATACTTAATTATGTTCATAGAAGTGAGTATGTGCAATTCAATGAAAAACCAGCCAGGATTGTAACTGCTGTGGTTCTGTATAGGTTGCTGGTTTGCTAAGAGTTCAGAGTCAAACTGTCACTGACTTAACAAAGACTACAATTTATATTACTTTGTTCATCCCCAAACAAACACTAGACCACCTGACCAGCATTTACACAATTTTACTTGACCTTTAGAGAAAACACTAGACTCGAACCAGCAGACCAGTGTTGAACAATAATGGATAGCTCAGATATTTCTAAGTAACTTGATGTTAACGTGGTTATACCATGACTAACGTGTATAATCTTCAGGAAAAACACTAGACTCGAACCTGCAGACCAGTGTTGAACAATAATGGATAGCTCAGATATTTCTAAGTAACTTGATGTTAACGTGGTTAAACCATGACTAACGTGTACTATCTGACCAAGTTTTTCAAGAACAGTATGAACCCATTGTTCCATGTAATGTAGATCATGTGACAGCCAGGTAAACCTGAGGCCAGACTGCAGCAGATGGTGGTGAATAAATCCATCAACAAACAACACATCATCACTGATAAATAGGAATTAGTAGGTCGCAGCGGTCTTCCATAATCCTGATCTCCCTTATATCGTGATAAATACCTAGGACCATGTCCCACAATGCAATCGTAGTGCTATGATTATCGTAAGTACAGTGATGTATTTAACATAAGGGAGTGATTTTGGTCTCAGTGCTGATCACCCTTCATTGACATTACTCAGTATGGAGTCTATTCAATCAACTAATACTGTTCTTTCAAGACCAAGAGCTAGTATTACAGTACCGTATTCCACATTCAATACACCTGGGACCATCTTGCAGCTTAAGTGAGTCTGAGTTTCGTTTAAAGCTGTTTTAGTGAGTGAGTGAGTTTAATTTTATGCCGCCTGTAGCAATATTACAGCAATATCACGGCAGGGGTGCCCAGAAACGGGCTTCACATATTGTAACCATGTGGGGAATCGAACCCGGGTTTTTTGCATGAAGAGCAGACACTTTAACCACTAAACTACCCCACCGCCCCTGAAGTTGTTTTAAACAATAGTGAGTGAGTTTAGTTTTACGCCACTTTTAGCAATATTCCAGCAATATCACGGCAAGGGACACCAGAAATGGACTTCATACATTGTGTTCATGTGGGGAATCTAACCCCGGGTCTTCAGCGTTACGAGCGAACATCTTAACCATTAGGCTACCCTACACCCCTCAAACAATAACCAGTTGTTATATCATAACATGCCTGCTTGGTTTGGGAAGAAAACCTAAACTGATGCCGGTCTAAGACTCTTGACGTTTACCAGTTTGGGTAAATCCCATGTCAGCGCCATATGGGCATAGGGTGCTGACAAATCTAGAAACATAATTATGGCAAAACGGGATTCAAACCCAGATTTATAGGTTTCTGGCACACAAGGCAGTAGCTCTGGACAACATCGACAACTGGGCCACCCTTATCCCTTTCTTCATAATACAGGCTTACCTCTCTGGTTACTGAGGAAGACATGTTTTCCGTCTGCTTTGTGACACATATCATGGGTATTCCTGTACAAAAGCATGGACATTGTCCATGTGGCATACACTGTTGTTTAATAGACCAAATTTATGTCATCCTTACAAATTGTATGTCAAAGATTTTATTTCAGATCTTAAGAGTCTTAGTCTGAAAATACTTATTTTACAGATCAAAGAATGTTAAAACAGTTTGAATGAAACATGCCTGATACTATTTTTCTAAACGAGCAATACGACCCATAATACACGATCAATCATTGCATCAGCACAGAGTAACCAATCAATCAATATACTGTATTATCCATCATATCAATCATTGATACATAATTACTCCATAATACTGTAAGTTTTTGTTTAACATTTAAATCCATGAAATGAACTTTGTGAAGGAAGTCAGAGAGTGCTTCATCGTTAGAAATGCCACGCCCATTGCATTATGGATAACAACAATTATTCCACACAACAGTTCTGGGCTAATTCTTGTCACTTCATCAGGCAAATGACAGGGTGAGGAACATGACAGCCTGAAAATGTTGTGAGTGAGTGAGTGAGTGAGTGTGAGAGGGAGAGAGAGAGTATAGGCAATATTTCAGGAATATCATTATGAGAACCATTTATATGAAGAATGAAAATTTTAATCCATAAACCTGCAATGGGTGTGGCATGATGTAGTTTTTTTCTCTTCTTTCAGGTAGGAAGTCATGGATTTCACAGTTCACACATATCTTGGTAAAATGTCCCAAATTATAAATAGATTTCCTGAATTCATTTTAAAGTTAGTCACAACTAACTTTACAGATTTTTAGAGATGACTTTACTTCACTGATAACAATATAGAGGAAAACACATTATTGTATTGAACGCAATCTGAAAGTACCAATGAACTTGACAAGGTCACAAAAGTGTTTTTTATCAAATTGCCTGGTAAAGATCATGAGTCATCGACCTATGCATTCACGAAGCAATCAAAAACATTTGTTTATGTCAAAGTCTAGTGTGTAGAAAATGTCTGGCCCAATGACTCACATTAAAATGAATAGCCTGAAGTTTACATGGAAACAATCATTTACCGGGCTCAGCTTACTGCAGCGTTGATTGGCCCAGACTGTTACTGTAGCTCTCGTTTCACAGATCTAATGTGCCTCTTTGATCTTTACTGTTAGTTGTGTTCAGGGTAGGATAGGTTACCTTTAACTCTTGACCTTGGATACCATTCTGACCAACAACCCCTTAGAATCAATAGGGTTCAGTATCCCTTTGCGATCAAACACCAAATCACAATAAATAAGGTTAGTTACGAGGTATCTCTTTTGTTGAATTAATCCAATGTAATCAGAGGAAATTCCAAACAATTTTCATTAAGTTTTGAATTTTGCAGACAAAGCAGCTACTGTGTATGTACGTGACAGTAAACAAGACTGACTGACTGAGTTTGGTTTTACACCGCTTTAGCAATATTCCAGCTACATCACGGCGGGGGACACCAGAAATGGGCTTCACACATTGTACCCATGTGGGGATTCGAACCCGGGTCTTCGGCGTGACGAGCCAACGCTTTAACCACTAGGCTACCCCACCGCCCCCAGTAAACAAGAAGGTGCATATGATAAATTTCTTGTGATTGTGCCTGTGGTCCCTCGGTAGGGTGTTAGTGGACTGGACTTACCCATGAATCTGGCTTAGCTTTAAGTACACAATAAGCTAACACTGAAATATACCATAAACAGACAATAGCAAATACTGAAGTTAACTATATTCACACAATAACCTATCCTATGACAAGTTCAAAAAATTAAAAGTTCAATTATCAAGGTGGTAAGTTATTGTCACTGTTCAACATTTTCCATATGAATTAACTGAATTCATTACTGCAAACTCTACTTCTTAATTTAGGGATAGGTTTATTAATTCATTTATTATCATTTCCGGGGTTTATTCAGAACAAAGACCTAAAATTTGACCCATTTCTGCAGCAAGATAACAGTAACAGTTATCAAATATGTTATAAAAAAATAATCCCAATTCTTATATTTAACAAAATATATGAATACAATTATCAAATTTTCTCCTGGCAGGGGCACTTAGTTTGGAATCCTAGATATATCTCAGTATTTCCTCCTGGTCGTGTATGACTGTACTGCCTTGTTAAGTCATAAATCAGAGTACCCATCACAGACAACTGTTTCCGTAGAACTATGAGACTTCCACCCCCCCCCGTCGAAAACCTTCGTGTTGTGACACCACATGCTCTACACAAAACAATAACATTACTTTCAAGTAAGCATCATGTAAGGACATTATACAAGACATGACATGTACCGTCTACATCTGGGATAATCATGTTGTTATCAAGTGAGGTGAAATGGGGTTTAACATTGTACTTGAGAATAGAATATTTCACTCATATGACAACATGCATGCATGTGTATGTGTGGCTGCTTGTACTAGCCCAGACTTATGCTGCTTTTATAGAGTCGACTCACTGAGATATCATGCCCCAGTTAAGCATGAATACCCCACTCAGACACATTATACTGACTCCAAGCCGACCAGTCCTTGTTGTATCCAATAATGCCGGGCGCCAGGCAGGGACAAACAAGTACCATATTTTAACATCTTTTGGTATGATGCAGCCGGATGCTCTAACCACTACACCACGGAGGCGGTCCATGTTGTTATCAACTGGTCGTCAATGATGATATATGATATACTATCATAATATGTGGGAATATTGTGCAGTATCTAGTCAACATCTCTCAAAACAATTGTATCATAACTGAATTAATATTAACTGAATAACTGTGCAGAGATAAATAACTCTGTCCAGTAAATAAGTGTATCTGTCAAACATTCCAGGTAAATTCTACACCCTATCCTGGCTAACAAGTCTCCAAACTGGAAGTAAATTTTGAATACCTAATCAGGAATTAATATTGACCTAACTTTCCAGTTGTGAAACATGATTGCGAAAGACCAGTCGTACATTACAACTCTTTGTCATTGTAAACATAACATCGCCACGGTAAGCAAACTTTATAGATTCTCAAACATCACTATTTAACGGTAACCAGCCAAATACTAACCGCTGTCTGTTGACTTCCAAAACAAAAACAAATGGACACCTTGACATGTCATCGCAGTATTCCAGCCAAAGCAGAACGCATCAGTCACAATCATTAAGAACAACTGCAGATGAAAGAGCAGATCGTTAAAATATCTAATAAACAACTCACTGGCGCTTGTGGGGTTGGGGCGACAAACGTTGATACTTAGAGTTGTGAACGGAATCCACCGATGTTGTCTGCTTACTCCCGATAAACTCTCTCGGCTCACTGCCCTCGCGGAACTTGTCAAATCCTTCCGGGCTGGAATTTGACTTAGATATCTCCAAGAGTGTTTTCCGGCTATATCTGCTCATTGGGCAATATCTGACATGCGGAAATTATCCGCTTAGCACAAAATACATCATCGTGCACTTGTGCACCATATAATAATATTCTCCAAAACCTAACAACTCAGCTGGTCGGCACTTTACACTACTTGTTGTACGACGAATTACAGTTTGAGTTTGTTGTTTAGGGCGTCGGTTGGATCCGGAAATAATCACATACCTTTCTCATGTTCCAAATATTTATTGATGGAATTGAGTAAGTTTCAGTATTTTCAAGGTGTATTTATACAAATGTTATCGAGCTCACAAGGACAGAGAAACAATCTCATGTCTGTTTCATGTCGCCACTCATGAATGAACTCTGCACACATCCCTGGATCAGCGTATGCTAAACATTTTTTTAAAGAAACAGCTCTTATAATTAATAAAAGGAAAGCTATTTATATTTTTAAATACGGTAAAAATGTAAAATTTCCTCTTCTTCACAGGTATTCTCACGTAGATAAACGTCACTACATTCACTTGTTTTATACCATTTGAAATATTAACATATTTCTAGATTCATCATCTTCAGCTATACATTGACACATTTATGATTTGAATATGCGCATAACAGTGTTGGAAATCAGTAGAACTTTGTGATAATGACTTTAAACACAGCATAAAACCCGTGAAGGTACGGTTTAGAGATCCAGATCGTGATACTGCTGGAATATTGCGAAAAACGTCGTAAAACCTTCCTAACATACACAGAATTCCAGAAAAGTTGAGTGAGTTTAGTTTTACGCCGCTTTAGCAACATTCCATCAATATCGCGACAGGGAACACCAGAAATGGGCTTTACACATTGTACCCCAGATATGGTGAGCATTTTAGTAAATATGACCGTGTTTAGTTGCCTGAGAACAAATATGCATGAAAACATTTAAACCGAAAGGTGTACCTGCCGAACTACCCAAGTATATCCTTATTTGATCGACTGATGGCGACACACACGGAATTACTCTACAGCAGTGATCACTAACGCGCTATAAAACACTTCGACAAGATAAATGATAACGATACATATATATATATATAAATCGTTCTGAGCTAATGAGATATGTTGGACACGTGCATATACACATTACAGAAGTCGCCTGTTGCATTATTTAGGACTATTAAAGAATAATGACTACGCTAGATCTCGCGTACAGATTCTATAACTTCTTTGACTGGCATTTTAAGGGTGGGAAGTAAATTATAGACTAACTGTATGGATTGTCTATATAGAAAACTATATATATGTAATATTTTTAGAAACAAATATTTTCTTTGCGGGGAGTCAAGCATCAGTACATGTTGAATAGGTGCACATCAAAATATTAACCTGTCAATAGGAATTCCATTAACACTGTAACGTCCCACGTGCACCTTTGAACTATATACTACGTCCCAAAGCAACATTATCACGACAGCGGACAGGACAACGAAATGTGTTTTGTGTATTTGTTACGCGACCATCTGGGCCGTGTGTAGACTGAAATAATATTTAAAGTTAAAACGAATGACTCAATTTGTCACATTATTGCACACCATACATCCTTAAGGTAGAGGTAACGATTCAATCTTGTCTATTGTGCGTATATAAGTTACAGGCAATGTGTACAATGACTGAAATAACCAGTCAGTGTGTATATTGCCTGATTCACTCAGTCATTGTGTACATTGTCTAAAATTTCCAGGCATTGTGTACATTGCCTGATTAATTAACCCAATTATACAGATTGACTGATTGCTGAGAAGACAAGGTTTAGTTAGCATGGGTTTCGTTCTGTGATCACTGAGGCTTCTTTTAATAAAGAGATGTTTTTAGTTTAGATTAATCCATTTTCCTTAAACCAAAGGTTTCCCTAGAAATGATTCTTCCTTAGAGCACAGGCTTCCTTAGAAATGCTATAAACTGCAAGTATTTTCTTAATGGACTTGACTTTCATTCTTGTTATCATCGTGGAGTCTGAACATTTCGTGAACATCTCCCGAGTAGACGACAGTCAGATTCAAAGTCAATCTTGTTGACTAAAGAAGAGTACTTTAATTTCGTTGAAGTCAAGGTTACACTAGGAGCTGAGAAGAACACGTTCCGGCGGTATAACGTTCTTGGGAGGTATGAGATCATGCAGTGTGGTGACGTTGAGAAGTTAATCAGAAAGAGAAAGCCAGAATCAGAATCTGCAGCTATTTCACTTATATTGATGAGATGTTTAATATCATAAAACGTGCCCACATTTCTACTGGTCATGGAGGCAGAGACAAAGTGGTAAAAGCATTAGTGAAATATGCAAATGTCACACGTGATGCTATTGAGTTATTTGAATAAGATTACTGTTGTTTATTTGAACATGTGTTGCATACGAAGAAAGCTATCCAACCTTTATAGTTTGATTTTTTATGACTGATATGATAAACGTTCTCCTTGACTGATTTGCTTGGAAAGGGGTTACATGTGGACATTGGTCAGCGTGGGTGCAGTTATCGTGGATAGGTGGACATGACGTAAAACATGCTTGATGTATGTAAATAGTTGTTACTGTTCAAAGAAACATGTCACTAAATTTATGACTAGAGCTGGGAGGGCCAATAAACTCGACCCAGTCTCATTCCTTACATTTCTAATCACAATCAGCCTGTTTGGTAACATTCGTGTTCACAGAACAGGTGATCGCCAGAATGAAGGAATAATCTGTATTTTAGTAACACTTTGAAACAAAATCCACCATGAAGGTTACACTAGTCAACATGTATTTAGAGTGCAGTTATCAAGAAACAAAAAAAATACGAACATTTCGTTATTTATCGCTTCTGGTGCTGATGCTTTTTCTTGCAGATTTTACGGTGGTTCGTACAATATATGTCTCCTTTCCGTTATATTTGCTAATTTATAAATATATTCACAGTGTTAAGCCTCCATAATTATAAATCATGTCCAAATGATTTATTTGCAGCGTAATAAATGAAATTCCCTTTCCAATACAAAGGATATGTGCCATTCAGAACAAAATCAAAGTCCATTGTCATACTGAACAGTAACCGTCAATAATATGTCTTTTGGAAAGTAGTATAATTCGAAGCAACTCGAAATTAAATTTAGTTGCGCATTAGGCTATTACGTATAATTTGAAACGGCAGTTTTGTTTCTATTTGTTTTATTAAAATTTTGATATTGTTACTGACAAAATAAAATCGAAAACAAATATTATCGATTGGAGATAGCTCTGCATGTATTTTACCCATGATTCCGTGATAAATTCTTCAACACAAAATGGCGTTCCAAGGGGATCTGTCGGATGAGGAAATGGTATTTGTGAACATATATAGCTTATGAAGCTCTGTTTTCTTGGAAATTGAATTAATTGAATTGCAGGAAATGTTACCATGCATATTTTGCCTCTTTGAGTAAATATCTTCATTTGATATTTGGAAATGTTATGAAGTTTGTGATGTTACTAATGTAAACAATAAGTCAACTGCAACTGGTGTAGCCCTAATTTCCGTTTGTTTTCACAATGTATTTGCACATTCAGTGATTTTGTGTGGACATATGGCACGGGATATTTTTTATGGTTTTGCCAACTTTTGGTATCACATTTTTCCTTATTATTATACAATTTTACGAAATTCTTTCGACCATGTTGGATGATATTCAATATGAACAGATAGTTCCAAGTAATGTCTTTGGACATGTCTGAAGTTTTAATTTTAGATATATGTTACCTTCATCACGTTTGAACTTATCTTATTGCTGTACAGCCTTATGTGTCAGGTTAACATTAAAACTCATCTGGCACTGAAATGCTCTTTATCCCTAGCTTTATGAGCTGGATTCTACCTGCCTCTCTGTCATGCTGAAGTTCAGTTATGCATGTTTTGATGGTGTTTTTAGGGACTGGCTTAGCTAAAGGAACACAGCTTGACCTGAAACGTGTACATTTCCATGATATTATGCTTGACTTAATAGGAGTTGTTGTTTGTTTTTTTGTGTGTTTTTTTTAGGCTTAGAGAAATTTCTAAATGATGAAAAACAACATGTGATGTTACAGTGTGCGACATTGATGCTGGTCCTGTGGTCCCTGACTAGTGAAAATTCATCAGGACCACTTAAATGATAAGTTTGCAATGGTCCTGGTGGCCAGTGAATTTTTAAGAATTTAAAAGTTGTTAAAAATTCAAATGAATATAATAGTATTGATAGTTAAGTAAATCTACGAATGCTGTTTTGGACCACTCCCCCGACCAGTGAAATACAGACAGGACCACTAATTATTGTCCACACACTGGTCCAGTGGTCTAGTGGAAAATACTGAAAGGTTTCTAACACTATGTTATGCTGTTAATCTCTGACAATTCCTTTATATGTTTTGTAATATTCCAGGACCGTGCGGCTAAGATTCATCAAAATCAGCCATATGATGAGTCCCTTGATGTTCCGGATGCCGAGGAGATTGCAAGCACATACTCCCCAACCCCAAGGGTCCCAAACCCTGCAGGTACAAATTAAACCTAGTTCACTGGGGATATCATGTCCATATGACTATCAGTTTACAGCAGCCATGCTTACAGTAACAGTTAACCGTGAATATCCGGGTTAGAATTGATCTTCAGTAGCTTGTCATAAGAGGCGAATAACGGGATCGAGTGGTCATCCTTGCTGACTTGGTTGACACACGTCATCGAATCCCAGTTGTGTAGATCAATGCTCATGCCATTGATCACTGGATTGTCTGTCCGAGACTATTATTTACAGGTCGCCGTCATATAGCTGGAATATTGCTGAGCGTGGCGTAAAACTAAACTCGCTCACTACAGTAACAGTTTCCAGTGATGTCAAGATAGTACAATGTTTTCACAAACTGTCAAAATCTACTCATCCAAATCTGGAAGTTTACTGTGTGAGAATGATATGTTTTCAGTTTATGTAGTTGACCTTTTGGTCATCTCTCTCAGGGATTTGGACTCGAGGAACCAGCATCTCTTTTTATATCCAAGTCAGTAAGGTGTATGCTGCTCCAGGCAATGTTGGCTCTACATCCCAGTTATATTTTACACCTTGTTTGGATGATCCATTACGTGGATTGGATGGTCAAAATGGCATTAGAGGATGAGTGACGTCAGTTGATGTTTACCATCAGCTGTATCCTTGTGTTCACAAAGTACAATGTAACTCCAGAACTACAGTGAAGTCATGACAATTTAGTTAGCAATAACTAGTTTGTGCAAGTCGACCCATGTGGCCCTTTCCACACCTACCCTGGCTCTGACACATTACACTGCTGGTTTGTCTGCTCCTCTAAACCAAGACATTTGTTACCAGAGTGACAGAGTTCCTATATTGCCAAAAGTAATTGGTTTGTGTAATAATAACTATCATACACAGCATCATTATGTGTTGATCTGGAGTTTAGTGCAGTGGGAGTTGCTGTCAACCAGGGGGTTTGCTTGGTGCAAACATGAAACATGATTCTTTGTAGATCACTGGAAATTTGCTGACTAGGATGTTTTACCAAAACCATTGACTGCACAATCACGTTGATTGCCTATTCAAACATGGCACTGCCCTTGACTTTGAAGAGGGATCTGTAATGAATAATAAGTCAAAATACAGTGGAAAATCTGGCTTGCAGTTTTCAAATGAAAAATAGTTAGCTGTGTAGATGAAATCATTGCTTTTACTTCAAATAGTTAGCTATAATAGTATTGTATAATGTTTTTTCCCTGTTCAGCTCGATCTAAACAAGCTCTGGGTCTTTCTGCTCCCAAATCTAATATACAGAAGTCAGGTAACCATGGTAACATTGTATATTTTGCATCTCTCTGTCAGTGTATGGTGCTCACATCTCTGTCTGAGTTCACTGCTCATGTGATCTGTCTGCTCTAGTTGTCCACTTGCTCACCTCGATGTTGTAGTCACATAGAGAGATGTGTAGGTAATGCTATCACATAGATAGACGTGTAGGCAACACTGTCACATAGACAGACATGTAGGCAACACTGTCACATAGATAGACATGTAGGCAACACTGTCACATAGATAGACATGTAGGCAACACTGTCACATAGACAGACATGTAGGCAACACTGTTACATAGACAGACATGTAGGCAACACTGTTACATAGACAGACATGTAGGCAACACTGTCACATAGACAGACATGTAGGCAACACTGTTACATAGACAGACATGTAGGCAACACTGTCACATAGATGTTTAGGCAGCACACAGACATGTAGGCAAAACTTTCCCACAAACAGATAGATAAAACTGTCACAGACAGACATGTAGGCAACACTGTCACATAGAGAGATGTGTAGGCAATGCTATCACATAGACAGACGTGTAGGCAACACTGTCACATAGACAGACATGTAGGCAACACTGTCACATAGACAGACGTGTAGGCAACAACGTTACATAGAGAGACATGTAGGCAACACTGTCACATAGAGAGACGTGTAGGCAACACTGTCACATAGACAGATGTGTAGGCAACACTGTAACATAGACAGATCTGTAGGCAACAATGTCACATAGATATTTAGGCAACACACAGACATGTAGGCAAAACTTTCCCACACAGATTGATAAAACTGTCACAAACAGACATGTAGGCAACACTGTCACATAGAGAGATGTGTAGGGCAGACAATGTAGGCAACACTGTCACATAGACATTTAGGCAACACTGTCACACAGACAGACATGTAGGCAACACGTTACATAAACTTTCCCACAAACAGATCACATGATAGGCAACACTGTGTAGACAAATGCAACACTGTAACAGACATAGGCAACAATGTCACATAGATATTTAAGCAACACACAGACAACACTTTCCCACAAACATAAAACTGTCACAAACAGACATGTAGGCAACACTGTCACATAGAGAGATGTGTAGGCAATGCTATCACATAGACAGACGTGTAGGCAACACTGTCACATAGACAGACATGTAGGCAACACTGTCACATAGACAGACATGTAGGCAACACTGTCACATAGAGAGACATGTAGGCAACACTGTCACATAGACAGATGTGTAGGCAACACTGTCACATAGACAGATGTGTAGGCAACAATGTCACATAGATGTTTAGGCAACACACAGACATGAAGGCAAAACTTTCCCACAAACAGATAGATAAAACTGTTACAAACAGACATGTAGGCAACACTGTCACATAGAGAGATGTGTAGGCAATGCTATCACATAGACAGACGTGTAGGCAACACTGTCACATAGACAGACATGTAGGCAACACTGTCACATAGACAGACGTGTAGGCAACACTGTCACATAGAGAGACATGTAGGCAACACTGTCACATAGACAGATGTGTAGGCAACACTGTCACATAGACAGATGTGTAGGCAACAATGTCACATAGATGTTTAGGCAACACACAGACATGTAGGCAAAACTTTCCCACAAACAGATAGATAAAACTGTCACAAACAGACATGTAGGCAACGGGACAGACGGGTGACACAAACTAGCTTTGCTGACATATATAGAACATCATACTAGTGCATTTGGACTTTGTGCATTGAGCGAGAAGATCTCACGAGAGGAGAAAAGAACTGTAAGACAGACTAATAGACCTGCAGGCAACAGCTGTTTCAGCTTTATATTAACTGACCACTAGTAAAATATATGTTGGACAAAACATTTTCGACACTCTCCATCTCTCTGACAATCTGGGGTAGAAGGTGTCCATGTAATATTCTGCGTCACATACTTTCACTTCTACTTGTCCAGATGTCTTTAGCTTCATGTTAATAGATTCATTCACAATATACTGATGGAAAAAAATAAGGAATAGTAGACAAGAGACATGATGGAAATGTTTGAGACTAAATTTAATTTCAAGATTCAATCTCAACAAGTTCACTAGTTGACTCCAGGGAAAAGGGTCTTATTGTAAAAATGATATGATAGTACATACTGTAAACGTACTTATTTTCGCGTGGTGCAATTTTCGCGGAATTGACAGTTTAGACTGCTTCGCGCGGTCAATTATTCGCGCAATCAGTAATTGCTGGAACTGCCAGCTGTCTCTTTGGCCGCCACTAATAGCAGTGAAAACAAACAGAGTGGCTTAACCTGTCAGGCGGCGTTTATTGCTTACTCACAGGAAATCCCTATCTGTGCGATATACTAGTACACAGTAATTCGTTTACTCCCCCGGAAGAGATGAAAAACACATCAGTCTTATGTTCCGAATTCTGACGATTTGACGAATTAACTTACTAGTATACTGTATATGAAGCTCTTTGTGATTTCCGGGTTGTTGTGAATGAGATGATTGAGTGTTAGTGACTATTCGCTTCATGATGTACTGGTGAATAAAATCTTAATGAATAAATAAAATACTGCTGTATTATTTCTTTCCGAGTCGTTTCACGGTAATCTGTTTTGTATCAAACCATGTCATGTGACCAATTTCCATGGCGGCCACAACACACATTGCTGTTTTCGCTAATTCGGCAATGGGATTTGGCTCATTATTTAATTATGTTTTGGGAAATCCATTACAGCGACAGTTAAGTATGATCAGTCGTCATTTTAAGATTCCCGTTGATTTCTGTCTTCAAACGTGATGTGTTATGGTAACAACTCAGGGGCGAGCGTGGCTAGACTGAATGAATGACAGGTTTATTCGCGGTGTATACATTTTCGCGCTAAAATGTTTTGCGCGAAAAGCGCGAAAATAAAACCTGCGCGAAATATAATACGTTTACAGTAGATCCTGTGGAGGAAGCCTAGTGGTGAGATGTTTACATGGCATGCCAAAGGTCCGGGTTCAATTCCCCACATGGTTATTATCTATGAAGCCCATTTCTGTTGTCCCCTAACATGAAATTGCTGTAATAAGCTCAAAGTGACACAAGACTCACTAATAATAATGTTCCTTGTTCATGACATCCACAGTATAGTGAAGCCATGCCTGAGTTCATGGTGTTCGATACAGAATTGTTTTCAGTTTAAATCGTTCATGAAGGTGAAAATGTTCACTTCATGCTGAATAATCCATAAATGTCTGTAAATACTGGTGCTGTTTACCTGTTGCTTACAGTTCCTGTATTACTTTCCATCAGTATGTGTTGAGAGATTGTAGCTGTACTCAAGTTACTAGATGAGAGATTTCACAGACATTAGCTTCAGACAACACCTGTGTTAGGACAGCTTTAGTGAGCAGAAACATCACCACACTTGCAAGAACTAGACCATTTAGTGTTGTATCTAACTAAAATTACCCCATCAATTTGTTGTATTTAACTAAACCTTTTAATTTGTTGTTTCTAACTTAAAGTGTTCTGCTGTAAGTGAGTGGCGTTGTGTCTGAAACAGTGCTGGTGGAGCCTGAGTACTGGCTCACTAGCTGTAGTCAGTTGATATAGTCTCCAACATGGACAGTGACTATTTATTTGTGAGTAAAGGCATTTATCAGGGTTCCAATACTAAGACCAGTAAGAGCCCTTGGCAAGCAGTTGGAGGGAATTGTTATTTTTGTTCTAAGTTGGAATGTGTTTCAAAGTACCTAAAGGCAAATATGTATGGATGTCAGATTACATTACCATGCTTGTTGTAAGAGGCAACTCACGGGATCGGGTGGTCAGGCTCGCTGACTTGGTTGACACGTCATCGTATCCCAATTGCATAGATCAATGCTCATGGTGTTGATCACTGGGTTGTCTTGTACAGACTCGATTATTTACGGACCGCCGCCATATAGCTGGAATATTGCTGAGTGCGGCGTTAAACAACAAACAAACCAAACCAGAGCTTGTATGTAACATGAGGCTTGAGGATGGGTTGTGTAGAGGTATCTGGTCAGCTTCCAGTGCATACAGGGGCGGTGTGGTAGCCTAATGGTTAAAGCGTTGGCTCGTCACGCCGAAGACCCGGGTTCGAATCCCCACATGGGTACAATGTGTGAAGCCCATTTCTGGTGTCCCCCGCCGTGATGTTGCTGGAATATTGCTAAAAGCGGCGTAAAACCAAACTCAGTCAGTCCAGTGCATACAGGTACATGGAGTGACTGGAAGCGGAGTTTTTCTACCCTGTTTGTTTATCACACAAGATTGGGCTATCATTTGTTGTTTGTGCACGGTTTCTTTCTAGAAGTTTTTTGAAGAATTTAAACTGTCCTATTTCAATGTTTTTTATGTTTGGTTGAGGGTGTTTTTCAGTTTAATTCTTTAGACGTGTATTCAGCTTTATGACAATATTGTACCTTTCAGAATATGACACACAGCTAAAGCTGAAGCCATTAAACACAGATTATAGCTACACAAACAAACAAACAATAGTAGCTTATTCCAAGTTAAAACAGACCCAAGCAGCCTGTGGTGGTCATACAAGGCCACTTTACCCCGATAACATGAGGACATGTTGTTCTAGCCCCACAGGCGTGGATTATTGCTCATAATGTCAATCACTGGATTAAATGGTCAGACTACATTTATCAGTTCACTGCCATCATTTTAAGATATTGCCAACTGTTGCATAAATATGTTTAAACAGACAAAACATGTATTCAAATATGCAGAACTGGTACATACTTTTAGTAATAGTATTAATCCAAATGTTAGCTGATGAAGTTTATGTCCCCAGTATTAATGATTCAGTCATGAACAAACACTGTGGACTCACTTGACATATCCTGGCAGTGTTACAAGCCTGACAGTGTACCAGGAAACCATGGCTCTAGCTGGTCCTAGCACCCCCTGGAACCTCCCCAGCTCATGAACAAACACTGTGGACTCACTTGACATATCCTGACAGTGTTACAAGCCTGACAGTGTACCAGGAAACCATGGCTCTAGCTGGTCCTAGCACCCCCTGGAACCTCCCCAGCTCATACAGGACACTTGAGTTCTCCAGTACATTGGGATACAGATACTTGAGAGGACACTGGTCACAAGGAAATACTGACCAAAGACTTGCTGTAATGATTATCATGGTAATATCTGAGGCCTGATGGAGGTATATAAAACATGCACCAAAGCAGCCTGTTATTGACACATGCATCCATACAGTATCCATGTTTTCACCACTATTTACCGTACTACTTCACTAAAACCTGTGTAATGTGTAATTCATTAAACACGACAAAATCTTCAGAGATCCAAGATTTCACTTCTTTTGACCTGTTTATGCATCAACTTTCATGAAGATAAAGACAATGTTGCCACCTGGTTTGGGCCACTGCAACCAGCCTTTCACGTTAATATGCACCAGGTGCAGATCAAATTATGTTCCATGAATCAAGCACAGTGGTGTGAATGATACACTCAAAACATGAAATTTTTTCAGGTTTCTCTTAAATGATAAAATCACTGTCATCATGTTCATTATATATTTATCATTATGATAAAATGACAGACTATGTTTGCTAATTTTGTGTTCGGTAAAGAGAGACCAGAGTAAATATTTCACCTGTTGAGTGTTGACTCCCATGTTACACTGGGTGTACAAGTAATGTGTTACTTCATTAGGTCCAGGCAGCTGGGTGTTCCGGCACCAGTTAGCAGACATTGGTTATGATCATTCTGATTTGAAATGTTGTCACAGGTGATTTACATTTAAATATGTTCATGTTCTGCCACAATTATGAAATATGTTGCATATACTCCAGTATGCATGTCAAACATGGTGACTTTCTATACATTATTCACTGCAGTAGAGTTCATGTACTTGTGATGCCGGCATCTTGACATCTGTAAAGACGTCTTCACATTGAAATTATGTGTGTGTTGTAATACTGCTTGGTTTTGGGAATGTTTTAATTCATATTTGTACACACCTCAAAACTAATTGGGTAATGGAAATGTGATGGTTTTTAAAGCAAATGCCCAACTTGTCCGGAGCTCTGAGTATCTAAACCATGGAATCCACATCTGGAAATTTTGCATGAGAAGTTGTGACCTTCACATTGAGCTATTTGTTTGACTGCTAGTGAGCATGTATTCTACAGGAGGTATATGTCCAACATGATGATTAATATCATCACTCTTCATTATCAACATCGCGCGGATCAATGCTCATGCTGTTGATCACTGGATTGTCTGGTCCAGACTCAATAATGTGCAGACTGCCGCCATATAGCTGGAATATTGCTGAGTGTGGCGTAAAACTAAACTCACTCACTCACTCATTATCACATTACTAATAGTAACAGTAAATTGTACACAGCTTCCATTCTATTGATATACAATTCACACTGTAAATATTTCTGTAAGCCTTTGACAAACAGAAGAGGAAGCACTGGTTTGTAAGCTAACTGGGATATCCAGAAGTTTTAAATCAGATCTCAGTTCTGTATTACTATAACCTGTAGCTTCATCACTGTGCTGCTTCACGAATTGACATCCACCATGTATAATTATATCTAACTCAAAGGGATCAATCATTTTAGTTCGTTGTAGCAATAGTTCATTATACACATGGCTAAAGTATACAAGTGGCAATATTAGAAAGCCTGGTTTGTTACATCTGACAGTTTGTTATGAGTGTATTCATTAATCACGTAGTTTACTGTATCTAATTATAGAGGAGAATATCCCTTTAACCAGCAGCTTGACCTCACCAGCTGACATGCATCATGTGTGTTTCTACTTCTAGACAGGGGACACAGTCGAGGAGATTCTCCTCCTACCTCTAACTTGTCGGAGGAAGATGATGACGAGGAGGAGGATGATTTTATTGAGCCCGGCAGCCATCCAGGTGGTCACCTTACCAGTGGGCCTCCCAAAGTAAGTCCTAGTACAGTCATCAACAAGAGATATTTTGGGGAGGAAGGGGTTTTATTTACTCTTCTCTTGATTTTATAAACATGGTCAAGGTCTGCTTCTGTTGTCTCGACTTGAGGCCTAGAAAATTAAAGTGAGGTAAATGACTCCTCTTCTGTTGTAATTAGTCAAGATTGTTAACCCCGGCTATTAGTGCAGGGTCATATAGTGGACATCTCATCTGTCCAACCGTCCATCATAATTTTATTTCCAGGGCACAACTTGAAAACCATTCAATATTTTTCAGTAGATGTTGGCAGATATTTCAGGGATTATTTGTCTTCTACTAGTGACCCTTGTTGTTTTTTGTTTTGGTGAGTCTCCTCCACTCCACTGTTGCCTTAGTCAAGTGAGTGAGTATGGTTTTACGCCTTTTTACTAATATTCTAGCAATATCACGGCGGGGGGCACCAGAAATGGGTGTACGTTACGATCACTCTCCACTATACCTTGGATGCATCCACGGCTTGCCCCGATAACTTTATAACCTCCCGTTGCTTGCTCTGCATTCTCACTGTAGCCAATCTGCAAAGCCGCTGTTACATCCGAGCTTGCCAGTGTCAACAAAGATAGCGGTCGCAGACGAGAAGGTTTGTTCGCAGTGCCACTCAGATTTTGGGGGAAATAATACAGACAAATTGACAGATCTGAAACTTTAAAAAAATATATGAAAGAACTCCTTCTACCTCATTCAGAGTACCTGTGCATCACTTGTGTTGCCAAGTTTAATCAGTTAAATAATTTAAGATGCGAAACTGAGTTGTGATTGGTTCGCTCAACTTCCCAGCGTAGACACCTGATTGGATAAAAAGTCAGCAAAGGGAGGTAATAAATATCGGACCAAGCCATGGATGCACCCAGGGTATAGTGGAGAGTGATCGTAACGTATACCCTGGAGATTATCGAGGATGATTGTACCCATGTGGAGAATCAACCCCAGGTTTGCGACGTGACAAGCAAACGCTTTAACCAACCGCCCCGTCTTGGTCAATTGAGATACTTACATTCAGTCTACTTGATGCACATCTTGCCTTTCTTCAGAGAGAACCCAAGCCGCTACATGGTCGGGGTCCTCCTCCCCCACAGTTCGGGGGAGCAAGTGGTCCACAGCAGAAGCAGTTCAACTCTGAGGAGGACGAGGATGAGGATGATGATGATGAAGAAGGATCATCAGGGGAGGACGATGAGGATGAAGTCCACCCTCCAGTTGAGGGGTGAGTTCACACACTGTTTATGTGTTTCTCGTGTCCAGTCATGGAGATGCCAGCTGTTCATCAGGCCCTAAGCCTAAGAGATAATTTATAGTATAGAGTAAATTGGTAAAATTAGAATTATTAAGTAGAGGCAAATCTGTAGCCAGTGTTCCAAATGTGTATGTGGTGTGGAAGTACAGTCAAATCCCGATGAGTCGAATGCCGGTGTCTCGAATATTATGCATAACTCGAAGTACCTGTCAGTCCCGACCATTCCTTGTTATAGTTGTCATCATTTGATTTCCGGTTACACGATTTCGTCTCATAAATACACACGATGACTCGAGAAGGAAATTTGGTCCCATGAGATTCAAACAACAGTAATCTTGTATACATAAGCCGAAGTCAGTCAATGAGAAGTTGATTGGTGTAGCAAACTGAGCAAACCAGCGCGGCTCACACCTTTCATTGACGGGTGAGTTCAAAAGACAGATTAGTGATTTTACGGAAATCACTGTCTGTGCTAATCAGACTGGAACTGATAAGGTGCCCCTATTAGTGATATGGAAATCATTAGATAAACAAATGCTTAGGCGGAGGAATTAGGACTGCATCATCTTTTTTCTACCCTCATAGACATACCTATGTCTCGAATACATCGATAAGTGGAATTTATTACTTGGTCCCCAGAGATTCGACTCATCGGGATTTGACTGTACTATGAAACAAAGCACGAGATAAATAGTGTGAATAACATTGTGTTTCAGAGCGTATGACCCCAATGACTACGAGAGCCTGGTGGTGAACCCAGAGATCAAGGAGCTGTTCCATGTATATCACGCGGTGAGGCTACAGCAGGACATTGATTTAGCTGATTCCAGACAAATATCATGGTTACCTTTGGTCAAATGATACTTCAGAAAGATGATAAATCATGATGAATGAAATGTCTGTAAGTTATGTCAGTTTGTATAAATACAAACCTTGAATACATCATAACTAGAGTGTTGTATTTGACTGACATCATGCTGTGAAAGATCTCCCGATGTCCTCTTCACTGTCGAATATCCATAACAAGTTCCTTCATCAGCTTGTAGCACATGTACTGTCAGGGAGTCCTCACTTCTTTCCTGTGTGCTCCTGTCAACATCAACACTGTTTCTGTTCATCATTGGCCATAGCACATTACGTGGTAGTTTTCACACTGAAATGAGCTTGAACGACAAGGGGACGTAACTTACGTATCAGAAATTAGACCTTAGACTGTTAACCTGCAACAACAATCCTCGTTAATAAAACCCAGGACTGATTTTATAAGAATATATTACCCAAACAAAAGACTGACGAAAAAGTAACTTTTTGTTGCTGTGTGCTCAAGGACATTTACTTAATGGTGACAACAGAGATACATAGAGGAAGCAGAATATATTCTTGTTAGTGTTTGTTCTGCTATGATTTAGAGTGTAATGACTATATGTTGTGTTTTGCCAGCTACACTCCCCAGTCTATCGAGTTGGACCACAAACTGAGGCCCTTCATCCCAGACTTCATCCCTGCAGTGGGAGACATTGATGCATTTATCAAGGTCAGCCATGAGTCGTATAGCCATTTGAAACAAACATGACAATGAATATTGTTGATAACATCTATTTATTGGATATTTCTTCATTAAATTTGCCTTTAAACATTGTATACAAGATATATGTTAATGTTTGTTGCCCAGAGGTTAACCCATAATTGTCACAGTTAAGGTGTTAAATCATGAAAAGCTGATGGTTCAAATGTGTTCACCTGCCTGTCAACAGAGAAATAACATCCCCAATAATACATGTGGTAACACAAGCAGGCTACCTCAGGAAGCATTCTTACAACTGTCACAGTGAAAACTGCTCATGATATCAATCACTGGTTTGTCTGGTGGACATTCAATATTTTACAGGCCACCATCATTCAGCTGGAATATTGCTAAGTACAGTATTAACCTGAAAAATTACCCCGAATCTGAAGGAAAGTGTCTGTTATATATGAAGTGTACTGTATGTGATATGTCTGTGCAGATCGCCCGGCCTGATGGGAAGCCAGACACACTGGGTCTGACCGTGTTAGATGAGCCTTGTGCCAAACAGTCGGACCCCACCGTGCTGGATCTGCAGCTCAGGGCCATCTCGAAACAGACCACAGCCAAACAGTTGGTGAGTATATATGTCCTTGTTTAGATGAAAAAACACTTGATACTTGATTCCTTCACTTAAAGTGTCGGGATCGGGTGGACATATGTCATAGCATCCCAGTTGCATAGATTGATGCTCATGCTGATGATCACTGGATTGTCTGGTCCAGACTTGATTATTTACAGACCGCCACCATATAGCTGGAATATTACTGAGTGCGGCATTTAACAACAAACAAACAAACAAACCACTGAAAGTGGGCCCTTAAATTGTTGTGTTTGAATTCTAGATCTACCCTGATCAACTTCCTGGTTTGTGAACTGTGGTTATGGGTTTCTTCTCTGAGTGGCATGTTAGAAGTTGGGTTTCACGACAGTGGTTGTATGTCCCTGTTATGATGTGTGGATGTAGCTGTGTTGTGTCCTGTAGGTTGTGAAGAGTCTGGAGAATGCTGACCGCAACCCCAAACACATAGAGAACTGGGTGGAGAGTATACGAGAACTACATCGCTCCAAGCCACCTCCAAATGTCCACTACTCCAAGTATGTATGAGATCCTTCCTGGAGGGCATGTAATCAGAAACATAGCAGGAATGATAGCAGTCACATGCAGCTCTATATTATAGTACTACATGTAGCTCTATGTTACAGTACTACATGTAGCTCTATATTACAGTACTACATGTAGCTCTATGTTACAGTACTACATGTAGCTCTATATTACAGTACTATATGTAGCTCTATGTTACAGTACTACATGTAGCTCTATGTTACAGACTACATGTAGCTCTGTTACAGGACTACATGTAGCTCTATGTTACAGTACTACATGTAGCTTTCTGTTACAGGACTACATGTAGCTGTTACAGTACTACATGTAGCTCTGTTACAGGACTACATGTAGCTTTATGTTACAGTAATAAATGTAGCTCTATGTTACAGTACTACATGTAGCTCTATGTTACAGTACTACATGTAGCTCTATGTTACAGTACTACATGTACCTCTATATAACAGTACTACATGTAGCTCTTTCTTACAGTACTACATGCAGCTCTATGTTACAGTACTTCATGCAGCTCTATGTTACAGTACTACATGTAGCTTTATGTTACAGTACTATATGTACCTCTATGTTGCAGTACTATGTGTAGCTCTATATTACAGTACTTCATGTAGCTCTATATTATAGTACTTCATGTAGCTTTATATTACAGTACTACATGTAGCTATATATTACAGTACTATATGTAGCTTTATATTACAGTACTTCATGTAGCTCTATATTACAGTACTATATGTAGCTTTATATTACAGTACTACATGTAGCTCTATATTACAGTACTACCTGTAGCTCTATATTACAGTACATGTAGCTCTATATTACAGTACTACATGTAGCTCTATATTACAGTACTACATTTAGCTGTATATTACAGTACTACATGTAGCTCTATATTACAGTACTACATGTAGCTCTGTTACAGTACTACATGCAGCTCTATATTACAGTACTACATGCAGCTCTATATTACAGTACTACATGCAGCTCTATATTACAGTACTACATACAGCTCTATAGTACAGTACAGCTCTATATTACAGTACTACATGCAGCTCTATATTACAGTACTACATGTAGCTATATATTACAGTACTACATGTAGCTCTATATTACAGTACATTTAGCTGTATATTACAGTACTACATGTAGCTCTATATTACAGTACTACATGCAGCTCTGTTACAGTACTACATGCAGCTCTATATTACAGTACTACATGCAGCTCTATATTACAGTACTACATGCAGCTCTATATTACAGTACAGCTCTATATTTCAGTACTACATGCAGCTCTATATTACAGTACAGCTCTATATTACAGTACTACATGCAGCTCTATATTACAGTACTACATGCAGCTCTGTTACAGTACTACATGTAGCTCTATATTACAGTACTACATGCAGCTCTATATTACAGTACTACATGCAGCTCTATATTACAGTACTACATGTAGCTCTATATTACAGTACAGCTCTATATTACAGTACTACATGCAGCTCTATATTACAGTACAGCTCTATATTACAGTACTACATGCAGCTCTATATTACAGTACTACATGCAGCTCTGTTACAGTACTACATGCAGCTCTATATTACAGTACTACATGCAGCTCTATATTACAGTACTACATGTAGCTCTATATTCTAGTACAGCTCTATATTACAGTACTACATGCAGCTCTATATTACAGTACTACATGTAGCTATATATTACAGTACAGCTCTATATTACAGTACTACATGCAGCTCTATATTACAGTACTACATGTAGCTCTATATTACAGTACAGCTCTATATTACAGTACTACATGCAGCTCTATATTACAGTACTACATGTAGCTATATATTACAGTACAGCTCTATATTACAGTACTACATGTAGCTATATATTACAGTACAGCTCTATATTACAGTACTACATGTAGCTAGATATTACAGTACTATATGTAGCTTTATATTACAGGAACATGCCTGACATTGACATAACAGGAATGATAGCATAATTGTATATGACAGGACTCCAGTCACATGCAGCTCTATATTACAGTACTACATGTAGCTCTATATTACAGTACAGCTCTATATTACAGTACTACATGCAGCTCTATATTACAGTACTACATGTAGCTATATATTACAGTACTATATGTAGCTTTATATTACAGGAACATGCCTGACATTGACACACTGATGCAGGAGTGGCCGCCAGAGTTTGAGGAGCTGCTGAAGGAGGTGAGAATATCACAGTGACAGATATGTGATGCACGCCATCCTAGCTCAGGTGTCGACTCAACTATTAGCCCATCGCTGTCAAGCCCAAACATCTGTCAGTTGTAATGTTAGGGTTTAAGTCTTGTTTCCTTCTCATCCTTTGGGTGGCATCATTGGGTACTTTGGGTGGCATCATTGGGTACTTTGGGTGGCATCATTGGGTACTTTGGGTGGCATCATTGGGTACCTTGGGTGGCATCATTGGGTACTTTGGGTGGCATCATTGGGTACTTTGGGTGGCATCATTGGGTACCTTGGGTGGCATCATTGGGTACTTTAGGTGGCATCATTGGGTACCTTGGGTGGCATCATTGGGTACCTTGGGTGGCATCATTGGGTACCTTGGGTGGCATCATTGGGTACTTTGGGTGGCATCATTGGGTACCTTGGGTGGCATCATTAGGTACTTTGGGTGGCATCATTGGGTACCTTGGGTGGCATCATTGGGTACTTAGGTGGCATCATTGGGTACCTTGGGTGGCATCATTGGGTACTTTGGGTGGCATCATTGGGTACCTTGGTCTAGGTATGTAACTCAGCTTCCACAATCTTCTGATCAATCTGAGATTCCTCCTGATTATCATCCTTGTTCTGCCAGCACTATTTTCACAAAAGTAGAATTAATTCAGGGTAGCCTTGGTGATGAAGATATTTCTAAGTCCCCATTCCAATATGTCCATAGTTATCATGGTAATGTCCCATTTATCGGAGTTGTCATCAATAACTGGCTGGAAGGACACCAGACCTTCACAAACATATATACTCCTGGGTGTATCTTGTATGTGTCTGGCAGATATGAAAACGATACGTATTGCGATACGCTGATCGAACACAGGTATTTTGACATGCATTCGGAAAACTTCGTAACAGTCGGAAATCTTCGGATATTTCCGTTTTTTGAATTGTTCTTTTCCCTGTTTCATTAGTGCCAAATGTTACTTACATTATTATTTTGTCATGATTAAAAGTTTTTATAAAAGGTTAATCAATCATAGTGATTTTGTTGTGTTTTTGCTTAATCAAGCATTAACTCGATTATAAGTAGTTTTTGTTAAAAAAATAATCCTTGCAATATATTGCAATACATATCGCAATACATATCGCAATATATGCTTCCGCATCGCAATATATGCTTCCGCATCGCAATATATTGCAATATGAAAATTCTCTGCAATACCCAGCCCTACTGGCAGACAACCAGGGAAGGCCTCCATATTGCTGGAATATTGCTGACTGAAGTGTTAAACAACAAGCAAACAAACAAACTTGGAAAGCAAGTGGATTAAACTGAAGAGCCCTTACAATATGATAGTTATTATAACCTGAATTGGACAAGGTAGGGGCCTTTTAGAAAACTTAGATATGTCTGTATGTACCGTTATTGAAGATGGTTGTGTGTTGTGTTGTCAGGTTGGTCTCCCGACAGCAGAGCTGGACTGTGACCTTGGTCAGTACGTGGAGATTGTGTGCTGTAAGTTTTAGCGCTGGACATTCATTGTTAAATCACATCCTTCATCAGTTAATTGGTTGATTTTGATATCTTTCAATATTATGTTTTGTGAACAAAGATCACATTTAGCAATAATAAACACAAATACTTACCTCAGTATTTAAATTTCCAGACTGACTTTGGAATAGCTCTTTATTTCTCTTTTTGCCCCAGTACAAAGTTTTTGTCAGTGAATAAACTTTGATCATACCCTCTCTCAATTTCTCAACTTTTCTAAACTGCAAAATATAGGGTACAAGTTAATTTGTTTGATTGTGGAAATTGGTGTTCATTCACTTGATTGTTTGGACCTTACTATGTCAATTAACTGGAAGAACACTGCAGTTTGACTGACTCTGATGGTTTGTTCCAGCCATGTTGGATATCCCCATCTACCGTAACAGCACGCACCAGAACGAGAAGATACAGGCTCTCCATGTGCTGTTTACACTGTACTCGGAGTTCAAGAACTCACAGGTACAGACACACACCTTTGTACACCTTTCTATCAACATTTCTCATTGCAGAGTAACACTACACTGCAGCGATCAGCCGTTTGGCAGCCATGTTCCATCTAAGGTCAAGGTCATTCGTACAACCCATGTAGTGTGTCACATGACAGATTTGATGAGGTGTACGGTTCTGGCAGATCTGCCTACATGGTTTGGTATGCTTTGACTATTGACCAGTCAGAATTCGACAATAATAATAAACTCAGTTAATGATAGTGTTGGGTTTGTAAGGGACAGAGAATGGTGAATTTATATTTTGATATAACTATTGAGAGCTTATTTCATTTTCAGCATTTCCGCACCCTGGCTGAGGAGAATCGCTTGGATAATTCCTTCAAGCCTGACGACAACCCAGATGACCAAGAGAGACTGATTCTATAGCATCTACACACCAGGCTACGGAGGAGGGTGGGACCTACAGAAGTCCTGTTGGGCTCATGTATCTTGGGAGGCAATTCTGGAACATGTCATCACTTTCACTGAAGTTTACACATTTTGATTTATTTTATTCAAATGGCTTATCACCATGATGTTAATGGTGATGAACCACAGATGTGACACAGTACATGCATTCATTGTGAAGAGCAGGCCATGAAATGTTAACCAAATGTTTCTCATCATTCCACCTGTTACATAACACATCACATTGAATGATAATGAAAGGGAAGTGCTTGATGTTTGTCGACTATGAAATCTGGTTTCAGTATAAGGATTATGAAAGTAAAGAAGCCATTATTGCTGACAATTATAAAGGGTTCCTGTCTACTGAGGTTTAACATTTATAGCCAGGTTTCCTGATGACAAACATTTGCTTACTTCATTGTGTAATCAGAAAATACTTCTGTGCCTTCTATGTGTATGAGTGAAGACATTACTGAACTGGCTTGTCTTCACTGATGGGACAGCTTACAACGCTGTTCTCATGTCAATCACGCACCAAACACACTGACATAACAGAAAAAATTTCCATGGTTCATCTATACTACTGATAAGAAGTTCAGGATCATGTGATGGTATTTTTATAGTTGATTGCTCATGTCATGACAGATTAACTATAATAGATGAAAGAATTGGATGTCCGTAACTTGTTTTGAGTAGAACATGTCAAGAAAACAGGAGAAATATAAGTAGCCAGTTCTATTCAAAACAACTGGGGTTTACTTATAATCATCTTTATTGGGGTACATTTGGACAATAAGATCTGATTGTGTTCCTATTGTATATTTGTGTACTATATGAATACTACGTGTTGTGATTTGTTAAGAATATTACCAACATCTGCATACTGTTTTACTAGGGCCAGAATATAGTGACTGTGATGCTAATATGTGACTGACTGAAAGAACTCTTTCAGTTGTAATATATCCTTGTAGTGAGTTGGTACTTGATTACTGAGAATAATGACAGTAACCATGGCAACACAACTACTGCTGTGTACAGATACCTGTGTATTCAGGTAAGGTCGTCACCTGTGTATGACTTACGTGGGACTCTACATTCCCAAGGTCACACATCTCCATTGTGTCTCTACAAAGCCATTGTGACAGACATGTGTTATTCACTATCAGCCCAGATCATGTATTTTCATCATGCTGCTGTGTGCATGTACAACAGAGTAGTCAGTGTTACAAAGTGAGGGGGAGTTTTGTCCTTGATGATTGGCTAAAACTATTGTAATCTAAGCCAATAGGTGTGTTATATTGAGATAATTGTAGGTAAATGTATCCATCTTTCCAAACACAAATTAATGTGGAATTTGATCTAGAAAACGGGGCAGTGAGGTAGCCTTGTGGTTAAAACGTCCGATTCCCCACATGGGTACAATGTGTGAAGCCCATTGCTGGTGTTCACTGCCGTGATGTTGCTGGAATATTACTAAAAGTGTAAAACTAAACTCACTAACTGATCTGGAAACATCGGCTAGATCTATGCTGTTGTTATGACATGTAAAATACATTGGTTAAGAAGATGAAGGAATTATATATAGTACTCAAAAGAACTTAAGGACTACCAGATTATATTTTATTACTTGAGTTGATAATCTGTCCCACCTTGACAGAAATTGTTGTATGGAAAGCCTCCATGTTGAATCTCATTCCGTCCATATTGTCATCTTGTGACATGTTCTGCAAAAACTGGTTAAGTGCACTTAGTGTCCAGGGTGTCCTGATAATGTGGCTACAGGGTGACCCCTTGCAAAACTCTCACCTGTTGGTGATGGTTGTTAGGAGACAGAGATGTGTTAACTGAGCAGCTAGTGACATGAGTCTAGAGATAAAATGGTCCCATGTTGGGTGGGGCTACCGACCCATGACAGCTGTTTTACTTGTACAAATGGAAATATGTGAATAAATGTATTTATGGTCCTAGTCTGTGAATGTTGATTGTACACTGGAGCATGAACACCATCTAGAATGCAGTGTCAATGTGTGGGATACACTGGACTCAGCTCTGTGGTACCACCACTTGGTTACAGTGTGTTACACTGATCTCCTGTATGTACATAGTTTAACACACCTGCTTACAGTGTGGTACACTGAGATCTAGAACACCTTCTAGAACACCTTCAGTAACGTGTGCTTGTCACAAGATGCGACTTACAGGATTGGATGGTGTGTTTTGGTTGAAACATTACATCATATCCAAATGTGTAGATCCGTTCTCATCATATCAGTTACTGGATTGTCTGGTCCATCATGTGGCTGAGGATGTGATGCTGATGTAAGTGGTGATAAAAAGACAATGTAACCCCATTTTGAGTTCTTGACTCTTATACCAGTCCTATCATGAATTTTAAGAGCTATATCCTTTCAAATATAAAAATAAAAATATTCAAGAGTTATATCCTCATGTTTGACTTACATCCTCATTCAGAAAGTCTTTGTAATCTGTCAGTTGGTCAACCACCAACTTCCCCTTCGTTTCCTGACAAAACTCTGGTAGTCATTGACACTTTATGTTGCTGTCGGGTTCTAATCCCTAAATATCAGACTGAAGTAAGACATATTACATGGAAACATGTTTCTGGGATAGAAACGGGTGAGGCAGCTGTGCTATAGTTGGTAACTCTATCAGAGAACATCTCCTGAACCCCTTCAGTGTGCCAGGCTGGAATGTTGTTTCCCCAAAGTTGACAAGGAACTGTGTAACTATTGGGTTTTGGTCTGCAAAACGTTTGATCAGGAGACTCTGGTAACCTGAGGTTTCAGTGGTGCTATACCATTCTACCATTTAGTCTCAGGTGTCCTTGGTTCCTTTGCATGATGTACAATGAAGTCCGTCATTCAAATCATCATCCTACACGGTGAGATTTGTAGATCCAGACTGTCTGTGAATGTATGAGAATCTCCTGTTACAACAGGTTGTTCATCATCGTACATGGTGAGATTTGTAGATCCAGACTGTCTGTGAATGTATGAGAATCTCCTGTTACAACAGGTTGTTCATGTGTATCTACAGCCTGACACAGATACAGATGGAAAATTAAAGTTTTAGCTAAAGCTGTAAACTGTCAATTAAATGGGTCTTAAGCCATTTTATTAACTTCAGTCTGTTAATTCAGCAGTCTTGTAGTCCTAAGACATACAAATGAGTATGAACATTTTACATTTTCCAACAATATTTATATTCACAACCAATAAAGAAAACTATGTAAGTAATTTAAATATTTTACTATAAAAACATGTTCATTTGTACAAATCGTTGATTTTCATGGCAATAAGTGACATCTACCAGATAAAAGTGTCATGTATTCATGTTCGTCCAACTTCTAAATGCCTTTCAAAAAACTTCTATAATGATTTTACAAATAGGTATAAACATCAATAATACAAGAATACAACATCAATGAAAGATAACAAAAGACCGGTAAATGTTTCAGAGAGGATCTGTCTCAGGTTGTACCTATCTGAAAAGTGTAACATGTCCCAAGGTGAAAATTGAGGGAAATACACCACTGAAAGGATTCTGTTACCTGAGGGTGTCTGGGTGTTATACCCTTCTCCCTAGGCAATCTGTCTATCTACTCTTGTTCCGGGGATGATGTAGCTAAGATGGATAGTCAAAGATAAGTCCGGTATGTTGTTCAAGTCCATTTATTTTGGAATGAATTCTCACTCAAAGGTCCTCAGATATTACCTAACATTCCTGGTCTACACACAACACAGATTCACAAACTTCATGGAAGAACTTGTTGGATTCTTGTACAACTCCTAAAGTTACAAGTTCATCTGAGCCATTCTCTCAATATACAGAGAGAACCTCCCAAGTCAAGGGTGGGGCTCAGAATCGCGCACTCTTTCCAGTCAACTAACAAAATAGTCTTCATAACAATTTTGGCTCCTCCCCCTGAAATACTGTCCTACACCATATAAAATGACTCATAACCAATCTGAATAATAAGTTACTTTCACTAGTCCCTTTTCAAATGACTCATATCCCAGCTGCATCACTAACTAATCATTTCCTCTCTTCCAAGACTTAATCGGTACCATCAATTTCTTCCATTTTACATGTACTTTATTAGTGAGCTTAAATCATTTGTGAAGCATTCAACCGAATAAAACTTCCGACTGGCAGGCGCCAGAAGATGCTTAATCGAATCATTACGTGTGTCCCTTTTCTGATTCTTAGTATCTTAATTACCAGTAATTTCCTAAATGGTATATGAGTCACCCGATCCACATGTTCCACTCATCTCCCTTATTAGATTTGTTGTATGCAAGGGAAATGAATCGATATGAATTTGGTTACTCTGGTCAATGCACTTTCCAAGCACAATGACACTTCTTAAGTGAACTTCAAATTTTCCTTAAATATTTACCAAATATATATTAAGTTTTCAATTCTAAATATCCTGGTTATACATGCCCCTCCTGTTGTAGAGCATGTCCCATGCGACTGACGAATGACCTAAGCTCAGACCTACACACACGTAAGTTGTCCAGAACAATTATACATCAATCATACAAGAATACAATATCAACGAGACAACTGAGTAACTATGTATCTGAGGACCAGAAAACACAAAATTCAAATACAGGTAAATATCTCAGATAGGATCTGTCTTAGGTTGTACCTATCTGAGAAGTGTAACAGACATGTTATAGCGAATAACCTTTTAATCAATTGCTAATTGGAAGTAATAGATGCAGATATGGTTAGTATAGATATCATAAATCAAATTGAGAGGTAAAACATGTTCATTTGTACAAATCGTTGATTTTCATGGCAATAAGTGACATCAACCAGATAAAAGTGTCATGTATTCATGTGTTTTTTTTTCATGCAAATCACAATAAGTTTACAAGATCAATAAACTACTCGTTTCTCCCTATGCTTCTTGTGAACCCAAAGCCAGGGTTGCCTCTCCCTGGTTCCAGTTAAAACGGTCCCAGAAAGCATGGCTCTGTGGAGGGCAGAATAAGCTTATTTTCTGTGCCAACTGACCAACCGAATAAGGTGCCATCAGTCTCTTAACATAGAAGATGAGGCCTTCGGGAAGGTCAGGCACTGGTGACGCAGTGTCCAGAAAGAGGTGAACAAACGACATCTCTGGATCTGGTTCCACCCGTTTGGGACGATAGTAATTTATCAGTGTCCTCACATCAAATCGGTCCAAAATATCCCTGGGTGGGAACAACACTGGATTCTTGCGGAGAATGGGCGAAATGTCATCCGGCACTCCAATAAACGGGTCCTCATATGGGACTTGACACTCCGGGCACTGTTCAATATTGAAATAGGTTGGTAGCCGTGAGGGTGGCGGACCCTCGGCCAGGAAGGCCTCCAAACCTTCAATACAGGGTATATCAAATTGTATGTACATGTCTCCCCAGAGACCATATAATATATGGTCTCTGGTCTCCCCGGGTGCCTGATCTTCCAGTGTTACCTGACGGAAATTGCCCCGTTATTTTCAACAGTGTGGCTGCACATCCTACATGTTGAACACGGGGGAAAAGTTCCTACAATCATTGTGGATCGGAAATATTTCTTGTGTACAGAGAGCACAATATCTCAATGCCTCTTTACCTGAATATCTGTTCCCACAGTAAAGTAGGTGACACGAAGCTTCACTGAAACTTTCAGCCATTTCGTCCGATTTGTGGACCAGAGATAGCTTGCCAAAGTACCATCCTTGAGATGTGTAGCAGTCGCCAATCAATTTCCATGTAACCTTGTAATTCCACGCCCATGTCAGTATGTAGCTCTTGTAAGTGAAACAAGATAGTTAAATCTTTGTTTCGAATAGCCGCTTTAACGCCTAGAGCCACGAGGAGTCAAAATATAGGCCATATATTAGGAGTACCGCCACCCCGATCTCCATAGCCTTATCTATATAACCCAAGTGTGACGGGTTTCTCTCGTCCAACCGTGACGGTTGTGCAGCTACCATCAAAGCTCTTTTTATTCTATCTGACAAATCAGGTGGGCTGGGCGTGAATAGAATCGGTGGTCTTAAAGAGAAGTTGCCTCTCTTTAATTTACTGTTTGAACTTTCAGATGAAACATTATTTCTTGGGTCCCCCCATGCTATAAACATAAGTACCAAGACATCTCAAAAATAACGAGAGGCGACATAATCTGATCCACAATTTGTAGGGGATGCTAACCGGAGGGGACCAATTATAAAAATCTTCGTCGATGGTAGTCACCACATATTGCGGGTCTGAAGAAGCCATGATAAATGTCCTAGGTTCACAAGTACCGATAACGATAGCAGCTAGGGGTATTACAAACGATCTAAGGAGTACAATTTTTAGTACCCTGTATAATAACTACAATAACAATAGCAAAACACAACAAAGCCTAACTAATGGAGGTGTACCCCTATGGTCAACGACCGGTGACTAGCCACAGTATACCACAGAATAGTGTTTCTAATAATCTTTATAAAAACGGGCGCGGAAAGCAGTGGACTTAGCTTGTATTTAGCAATAAGCAAAAAAGCAGCACTATTCGAGCAGTGATATCGTTCGGGGTACCAGCTAGCCACACAAAACCCCCATGCGAGCTGACATGGCTTTATTAAAAGCGCATAGTCTAATTGCGGTCAAGCAGCTCTATATACAGTTGCAATCAGACTAAGAAGATTGGTGCATAACTTGCCAGTGTATATTCCATACTTGGAATATTACAATATCAATACAACAATTAACATATAATTAATCATGCGTCATAGTCAAAAGTAACTCACATACCCTCTGGTTGTAAATTATGTGAATCATATACAATGTGTTAAGTATTAAAACACTTGACAACTCATCTGCATCTACTATTTTGACCAATCAACTCTTAATAAAATCAAATACCCGACGAAGACATATGCATCTGATACAATCAACACATCACAAGTAAATATCAATCACATAGATATCAGAAGAAAATTGCAATAGCAAATATACCTGACATACAATCTTATACATAGATAGTAGTATAAATCCATAAATCATGCAACAAGATGTCAATTGAATATAAACTGGAATCAATTCTTACACACGAAGACACTTAGTATGTCTGAGTTTGATTACTAGTTTTGAACTGAAAGTATGGTCAGCCTTCTTAACGAGCAAGAAAGGTGAGCTCCACTGAGAAAAGGTAGGAGCTATCATCTCATACTTAAGTAATTGATCCACCTGTCTATCAATCTCATCTTTGGTCTCAGGTGAGCATGGGTATGCTCTTTGGTATACTGGACTGTAATTACCTGTATTTATTTTGTGGGAAAACAGGTGTGTCCTACCTATTTCTGACATGTCAACTGCAAAGACATCTCTATTCTGTCCCAAAAACAATTCAAAGTCACTCTTCTGACTGTCAGTCATGTCAGCGTCAGCTAAAGAGATTTTCAGTTCACCTGCCTTAGTTCTCAAATTGGCATCCTCCAACTCAGGTACATCAACAGAAAGCTGGGGTGTTGCTTCACCATTCAAAGCACATGTCGAACCACCTGGAATCAGTATTTGGGTCATCAACATATACTGGTAACAAGGTATCTGAGTGAGGTGGCAAGATGACATCACGTATACACGTAACAACATTGGAATTTGTATAAGAAGCAATGAACTTTGCCTCTGTAAGTCCGTCCCACAATGTCAATCTGTTACGACTAACGTCAATAGCAGCCTTCTGGCTCTTCAAGAAGTCCAAACCTAACAATACATCAACAGATAATGCTGACACGACATAAAACTCCTGTATAACACATAAATGGCCAATTCTAAGAGGAATCTGAGATATACCTAACACATCTAACTCTTTCCCATCTGCTCCAACCAATGTCCTTGCACCTTCCTGTGTAATGGGAAAGTTGTTCTCACCCCCAATTGATAAGAAAACATCCTTTTAACCCTATTTTAACAATATCAAGAAAATCCAAGTACATACCATATATACTGGACAAAATAAGTTAGGGATATTGGTATTTTTATGATTGATATTTTATCAGTGTTTAAATGAGTAAATAGATCATTATTCATAATTTCAAAATTTACATATATCCCTAACTATTTTTGTCCAGTATGTCCAGGGTGAATTTAGAGATCTTTATATCTAATGTCTGTTATTTTTGTGGTAATAGCTAACCTAAAGCTATTTACTCTTCTTTTGTATGCTATCTGGCATCAGGACACATGCACCGAGGTGATGAGGTGAGAGGCGAGTTAAACTGTCTCCGTATCTGTTGCAGAAATCTCTCGTCCTTTCATCTGTATGTGGATGAGCATCCAGTGAGACAATATCCACGTTCTGTACCTAAAAACAACAATCATGGCATTGGTTCTTTGTCTTCTTTCAATGACAACAGATCACGCTTGCTCAAATTTAGTGTAATGTTTTTGCATTTACATCAAGAAACATGTTGCCAATATCAGTATGACTTTGATCATGCTTGCTCAGATTTAGTGTAAACCTTTCACATTTACATCAAGACATATGTTGCCAATATCAGTATGACTTTGATCATGCTTGCTCAGATTTAGTGTAAACTTTTCAGATTTACATCAAGACATATGTTGCCAATATCAGTATGACTTTGATCATGCTTGCTCAGATTTAGTGTAAACTTTTCACATTTACATCAAGACATATGTTGCCAATATCAGTATGACTTTGATCATGCTTGCTCAAGTATAGTGTAAACTTCTCACATTTACATCAAGAAACATATTGCCAATATCAGTATGACTTTGATCATGCTTGCTCAAGTATAGTGTAAACTTCTCACATTTACATCAAGACATATGTTGCCAATATCAGTATGACTTTGATCATGCATGCTCAAATTTAGTGTAAACTTCTCACATTTACATCAAGAAACATATTGCCAATATCAGTATGACTTTGATCATGCTTGCTCAAGTATAGTGTAAACTTCTCACATTTACATCAAGACATATGTTGCCCAGTATGACTTTGATCATGCTTGCTCAAGTATAGTGTAAACTTTGATCATGACTTGCTCAATATCAGTATGACTTTGATCAGCTTGCTCAAGTATAGTGTAAACTTCTCACATTTACATCAAGACATATGTTGCCAATATCAGTATGACTTTGATCATGACTTTGATCATGCTTGCTCAAGTATAGTGTAAACTTCTCATTTACATTTGTTGCCATCAGTAGACTTTGATATGCTCAAGTATAGTGTAAACTTCTCAATATCATATGTTGCCAATATCAGTATGACTTTGATCATGCTTGCTCAATTATAGTGTAAACTTCTCACATTTACATCAAGAAACATATTGCCAATATCAGTATGACTTTGATCATGCTTGCTCAAGTATAGTGTAAACTTCTCACATTTACATCAAGACTGTTGCCAATATCAGTATGACTTTGATCATGCTTGCTCAAGTATAGTGTAAACTTCTCACATTTACATCAAGACATATGTTGCCAATATCAGTATGACTTTGATCATGCTTGCTCAAGTATAGTGTAAACTTCTCACATTTACATCAAGCTCAAAGTATAGTGTAAACATTTATGTTGCCAATATCAGTATGACTTTGATCATGCTTGCTCAAGTATAGTGTAAACTTCTCACATTTACATCAAGAAACATATTGCCAATATCAGTATGACTTTGATCATGCTTGCTCAAGTATAGTGTAAACTTCTCACATTTACATCAAGACATATGTTGCCAATATCAGTATGACTTTACTTGCTCAAATATGAGTGTAAAACTTCTCACATTTACATCAAGACATATGTTGCCAATATCAGTATGACTTTGATCATGCTTGTTCAAGTATAGTGTAAACTTCTCACATTTACATCAAGAAACATATTGCCAATATCAGTATGACTTTGATCATGCTTGCTCAAGTATAGTGTAAACTTCTCTCATTTACATCAAGAAACATATTGCCAATATCAGTATGACTTTGATCATGCTTGCTCAAGTATAGTGTAAACTTCTCACATTTACATCAAGACATATGTTGCCAATATCAGTATGACTTTTATCATGCATGCTCAAATTTAGTGTAAACTTCTCACATTTACATCAAGAAACATATTGCCAATATCAGTATGACTTTGATCATGCTTGCTCAAGTATAGTGTAAACTTCTCACATTTACATCAAGACATATGTTGCCAATATCACTATGACTTTGATCATGCTTGCTCAAGTATAGTGTAAACTTCTCACATTTACATCAAGACATATGTTGCCAATATCAGTATGACTTTGATCATGCTTGCTCAAGTATAGTGTAAACTTCTCACATTTACATCAAGACATATGTTGCCAATATCAGTATGACTTTGATCATGCTTGCTCAAGTATAGTGTAAACTTCTCACATTTACATCAAGAAACATATTGCCAATATCAGTATGACTTTGATCATGCTTGCTCAAGTATAGTGTAAACTTCTCACATTTACATCAAGACATATGTTGCCAATATCAGTATGACTTTGATCATGCATGCTCAAATTTAGTGTAAACTTCTCACATTTACATCAAGAAACATATTGCCAATATCAGTATGACTTTGATCATGCTTGCTCAAGTATAGTGTAAACTTCTCACATTTACATCAAGACATATGTTGCCAATATCAGTATGACTTTGATCATGCTTGCTCAAGTATAGTGTAAACTTCTCACATTTACATCAAGACATATGTTGCCAATATCAGTATGACTTTGATCATGCTTGCTCAAGTATAGTGTAAACTTCTCACATTTACATCAAGACATATGTTGCCAATATCAGTATGACTTTGATCATGCTTGCTCAAGTATAGTGTAAACTTCTCACATTTACATCAAGACATATGTTGCCAATATCAGTATGACTTTGATCATGCTTGCTCAAGTATAGTGTAAACTTCTCACATTTACATCAAGAAACATATGTTGCCAATATCACTATGACTTTGATCATGCATGCTCAAATTTAGTGTAAACTTCTCACATTTACATCAAGAAACATGTTGCCAATATCACAGACTTTGATCATGCATGCTCAAATATATTGTAAACTTCTCACATTTACATCAATACATATGTTGCCAATATCAGTATGACTTTGATCATGCTTGCTCAAGTATAGTGTAAACTTCTCACATTTACATCAAGACATATGTTGCCAATATCAGTATGACTTTGATCATGCATGCTCAAATTTAGTGTAAACTTCTCACATTTACATCAAGAAACATGTTGCCAATATCACTATGACTTTGATCATGCATGCTCAAATATATTGTAAACTTCTCACATTTACATCAAGAAACATATTGCCAATATCAGTATGACTTTAATCATGCTTGCTCAAGTATATTGTAAACTTCTCACATTTACATCAAGAAACATGTTGCCAATATCACAGACTTTGATCATGCATGCTCAAATATATTGTAAACTTCTCACATTTACATCAAGAAACATATTGCCAATATCACTATGACTTTAATCATGCTTGCTCAAGTGTAGTGTAAACTTCTCACATTTACATCAAGAAACATGTTGCCAATATCACAGACTTTAATCATGCTTGTTCAAATTTAGTGTAAACTTCTCACATTTACATCAAGAAACATGTTGCCAATATCACAGACTTTGATCATGCTTGCTCAAATTTAGTGTAAACTTTTCACATTTACTTAAAAGAAATAAATTGCCAAATGCATTATGATTTTGATCATGCTTGCTCAAATTTAGTGTAAACCTTTCACATTTACTTAAAAGAAATAAATTGCCAAATGCAGTGTGATTTTGATCATGCATGCTCAAATTTAGTGTAAACTTCTCACATTTACATCAAGAAACATGTTGCCAATATCACAGACTTTGATCATGCTTGCTCAAATTTAGTGTAAACCTTTCACATTTACTTAAAAGAAATAAATTGCCAAATGCATTATGATTTTGATCATGCTTGCTCAAATTTAGTGTAAACCTTTCACATTTACATCAAGAAACATGTTGCCAATATCAGTATGACTTTGATCATGCTTGCTCAAGTATAGTGTAAACTTCTCACATTTACATCAAGACATATGTTGCCAATATCACTATGACTTTGATCATGCATGCTCAAATTTAGTGTAAACTTCTCACATTTACATCAAAAAAATGTTGCCAATATCACTATGACTTTGATCATGCATGCTCAAATATATTGTAAACTTCTCACATTTACATCAAGAAACATATTGCCAATATCACTATGACTTTAATCATGCTTGCTCAAGTATATTGTAAACTTCTCACATTTACATCAAGAAACATGTTGCCAATATCACAGACTTTGATCATGCATGCTCAAATATATTGTAAACTTCTCACATTTACATCAAGAAACATATTGCCAATATCACTATGACTTTAATCATGCTTGCTCAAGTGTAGTGTAAACTTCTCACATTTACATCAAGAAACATGTTGCCAATATCACAGACTTTAATCATGCTTGTTCAAATTTAGTGTAAACTTCTCACATTTACATCAAGAAACATGTTGCCAATATCACAGACTTTGATCATGCTTGCTCAAATTTAGTGTAAACTTTTCACATTTACTTAAAAGAAATAAATTGCCAAATGCATTATGATTTTGATCATGCTTGCTCAAATTTAGTGTAAACCTTTCACATTTACTTAAAAGAAATAAATTGCCAAATGCAGTGTGATTTTGATCATGCATGCTCAAATTTAGTGTAAACTTCTCACATTTACATCAAGAAACATGTTGCCAATATCACAGACTTTGATCATGCTTGCTCAAATTTAGTGTAAACTTTTCACATTTACTTAAAAGAAATAAATTGCCAAATGCATTATGATTTTGATCATGCTTGCTCAAATTTAGTGTAAACCTTTCACATTTACTTAAAAGAAATAAATTGCCAAATGCAGTATGATTTTGATCATGCATGCTCAAATTTAGTGTAAACTTTTCACATTTACATCAAGAATTGCCAGATGCAATATGAATACTGGGTATATCAAAGATGGAACTCTGGATACTCTAAGTCTTTATACATCAATCCGTGAAATTTTACATGCGCAATCTTAACATTTTTCAAAATAATTTTATTAAATATGTTGATGTTGATCTCTTCATAACATAAGGCTGCATCATGTATTTTAAAACTATATATTAAGGGTTATGTACACACTAAATGTGTAACACTAACTGTTATCATACTGTTAACATGTCAGCATAAGGACTGTAAACTTTGAAGGATTAATAATTCATGTATTATCGCTTTTGAGTTAATTATCCAACATTTTATCATGGGATTATAGATGCTATTATAGGAGGCGCAATATTTTTCATTCCCTATTCTATGGTATCAATAATTCATTTAATATCATAAAACCTAACATCAGTCTTGATCTATTGATATCACAAATCCAGTCTTGAGATATCTTTAAATTTTATGTATTTTTAGACATAACAAAATCGAATTATTGATACAAAAATGAGTTCACTAATTCCATTATTTGATATCACTAAATGTATCTTTTTAAAATCATAAAATTGAAAAGGTATTATTGTTATAAAACAAATCAAACTTGTGATGTTGATTATTCACTTCTGATTTCAAGGAAAATTACTTCTCCCTTGAAGACTTACTGCAGCAAATAATTACATGACTTTTTAACAATATTGTTTGTAAAGCTTATCACCTACAAATAAATCTGAATATATGAATAAATTACAACAAATAGAACCAAAGATTTCATCCTATATTAACTGTTATATAACATAATTAAATTAGGCTTGATAATTTAAGAGATTAACACATCAGGTTTAATTACCCACAACCCTTGCCATTGTGATATCGATAAATCATTTTATGATCAACTTTGTAACATCAATACATCATTTAATGATATCCAAAAATTGAATTTGTTATAGAAAAGAACAATAATTTTATGACTATCTAAATACAGAGTTTGTGATAACACACTCTGTGATATAAATTAGAATTTGTTATGTCAGTAATAAATTATTTTGTGATTACTTGATATATTAAATTCTGGGTCAGGCACCTCATACTCTCTCAATGATCTGGCACTCATTGTCCAATTTTAATTTAGCCATTTATTTAATCTGTGAACTTCAATTACAGACTTTCCTCGAATTCAGACTAATGATAAGGATACGGAATTACAAAAGATTGCAAACCTAACAACTATTCCTAAGAATCGTATTACAGCGCTGTTTGATGGTCGGTCGTGCCCAACCCTCTTCAACCAAATTTTGTTCATTGACGTTACTAGTGCTGAAGGGGTCGTTGTCGGCACAGGTACCCCAGGTACGTTTCTGTATACAGACATGTACCTTAAACAAAGACAAACTACAGAAACGTACCCGGTACCCTAAACGACGGACGAGTCCATATTCCGCAACCCAAAACCGAAACCGTATGTAGTTATTCCCGTTCAGCTGATTGCGAGCGGTGTACGTTGTGCACCGTGAAATATTCGTTACTGTGTATGCTCTTATATAACGATATCAAATGCATCTAATACAACAGTATGACCGTTCCGATTAAAAAAACTCCACATTACAGAATGGAATCATCCAAGGGTACGTTTCTGTATTCTGATTTTGGCTAGGGTACATTGCTGTATACAATCTGTAGTACCCGTGCCGACAACGACCCCCTCAGCGTTACTAGAGTAGCTTTAATTCTTTGTGTTTCTCTTACTTTGTTCAATTTCTTATTCTTCGGATTTCATATAACCCAAGATCTGTAGACTAGACTTAAACATTATGGTGGTCTCACTTGGAAGAAAGTCATGCTAATTATTTGTATCCATATAATCTGATTACAATATTTGGGTAGTATTTTACCTGGGTAGTTTGAAGGCTTTGTCACTTTGTACTTTCACGGATGACCGATTCCCTTCGACGATAGGTCTTCTTCCCTTCACAGCGAACACAACACTGGTCTCACTGTGATGTTGTATTTCCCGATCACTTATTTTTCGGAAAGAAAACGACGTTACGCGTTGTACCTGTACAACCAACTTCTAACTGTCCAGGATCGCGCCCTTCTCTCACAATGACAGTGACACCCGCCAACAGTAGGACCATTTGTCGCCACTCGTCTCTTTCCGCGTCAGTACCTTTGAGGTTACGGAAAAGGGTGAGGTTATACAGACGCTTGTGTTAACAATCGCATTTGGTTTTCAGAGAGCTGATTCAAAGATGACCGGAAATACCCGATTGTTCTCGAATTGACTATTGTTCAAAGTGACAATACATCTAACACGACCAGGTTCTATGGATAGTCAACTTCTTTATTGCAGTGAATGCAACGTTTCGGTGTCAGTAGATACCAGTTAACACCATTATCAGAGACCATATCGGTATCAAGCAAGTGATGACGTCCAAATCACTTCGGCACACTGGCGGCACTCTTTAGCACAGATGTCGAATATTTAATTTCCTATCAATGGGTGGAAAATTAATTTCAAGTATGAGACGGGGCCAAGCGTTGTCCGATCTTTTGTTAAGCATAAATAGCCTGCACATTTCTCTAGTTTTAATCATACATTGATAAAAACACTGGTTACAGGTATACATATTTAATACAAAATACATTCAGTTATGAATGACCGAAATCGAGATTTCACCATCACCCCAAAACGCGACATGGATGGATGTATACATAAACAAGGAAGAAGGGCATAACTTGGCCTTCACTGGCAACACTGTCACTATCGTGGGCACTTCGGCGCAGGTTTTATCATAGTCTGTCTTGCAGTCCCTGAACCATATTATTTCTCTACAGACTAGCCCTCCCTGCAATGCTAAAGTCCTGAATAGAGCAAGTCTAGATTTCCCCACGTTCAGGACTTCCCTGGGGCTCCTTTTCAATGTGAATGGGTTTATCTGTTACAATCAAAATTATATATATTCTAATTCAGAGACTAAGAGTTAGTCCAGTTTTATCAGGGAGTTTATATATTCCCGATTTACTTAAATATATCTATCTAAATTATGACCTTGCTGTCATTGCAAGTAAAATAAAAGCTTGGCCATTATCGTCCTGCCTAGCAGCACCGTCATCTGTTTATCGAAGGTTTCCAAGGTTGTTTTTTTCTCAACTTCCACCAACGGTGGTACATGAGTAAAGTGGAAAACAACTTGTATACATATAAACACCAAGATGGCATTGGAGAAATATAATTGAGGCAGGATAATGTACAATACAATATGCATACATATTTACAATGATGCCATCAGAGAGTGATACAAATATTTAATTACATGTATTTATATCTAAACTTCTATTGATACATTGAATAAATTTTGACAAATCTTTAGCATTTTTAGCTTTCTTTGAACAAAGAAACTTTTAAGTGTTTATCACAGACAATGGCCGGTTGGCCACTGAAGCATGACATTGTACATGGATGATGTCGCCATCTGTCGACAAAGCGACACGTGACAGTCCAGCCATGATTCGACCCTTAGGAATAAGTATAGACTAACGCTTAGTCTCTGAATATATATAATTTTGATAGTAGCAAACAAGCCCATTTAAATTGAAAAGAAGCCCCAGGGAGACCAGAGATTCAGAACCTAAGGAAATCTAGACTTGCTTTATTTAGGGCTTTAGCATTGCAGAGAGGGCTTGGCAGTAGGGAAAATAATGTGGTTCAGGGACTGTGAGACAGACTACATTGCAGGGAGGGCTTTTTTGGCAGTAGGGGAATAATGTGGTTCAGGGACTGTGAGGCAGACTAGAATAAGTAGAGAATGCATTGTGTTAGTCGGGACTGAACCCTCCGACAGTGGCTGGGCAGGTGGCTAACTGCTGCCTAGACATTGCTTTAATACCATGTAGTATTGTTTGGTTGTTTGTTGTCGCTCTCAGCAATATTCCAGCTATATGGCGGCAGTCTGTAAATAATCAAGGCTGGACCAGACAGTCCAGTGATAGACATCATGAGCATCGATCGACGCGACTGGGATATGGTGACATGTGTCAACCAAGTCGGCGAACCTGACCACCCTGTCTCGTTAGTTGCCTCTTATGATAAGCATAGGTTGCTAAGGCCAATTCTAGCCTAGATTCACACGTTCAGTATCGTGTTGTGGAACCACTGACGGACTTCTGTATTTGAAGAAACAGTTATCCAAACTTCCTGATTCTATTTGGGCGGTGGGGTGGCCTTGTGGTTAAAGCGTTGGCTCTTCACTAAGAAGCCCCGGGTTCGATTCCCCACATGGGTACAATGCGTGAAGCCCATTTTTGGTGTCCCCGCCGCGATATTGCACGAATATTGCTAAAAGCGGCGTAAAACCATACTCACTCACTGCCACGTTCCGGTATTGATCTTTATGTCGTTGTCAAACAGGTTTGACTTAAGACAGCACAGTACAGACTTATATACATATAACGGGAATGAGCAAAAACATTATAAGGGTATATGAAAGGTATTAACAACAATTATTACACCTATATATGTAACTGACATTCCCCATCAAATGATCGTCAGAATGAAAAAAACAAACAAACAAACAAAACAAAACAAAACATCTACCACCGTGCACGTGAGACCGAAAATCACCCATCTCAGACCACATCATGAACAGCCCTAATCACACGAGAGGAACAATCAATCTGCATGCACGACTTCACCATACCAGCAGAAACAGTTCATGACCCAGTCCAATCACCGACACAAGCACGCAGACAACAAAGAACAAAGACACCCCGTCCCATCTGCTTACAGTTAGTTGTTAAAACAGCAGAGCCCTCAAACTGGCATCTCAATTTTTTTTATTGAATCCTATTTCCGAGTACGCTCACGCATTATAAAAAAACATCCATATAGTATCACAAACACGTAATAAGCATTCTGCATTCAGATATCAAGTTTAAAGTATATTCCTAATAACAAAGTATACCAGGACATGCCTACTGACGAAATATTTACTGACGACTGCATCCATGAAGATCCCGGTTAGAATTGATCTTCAGTAACCCATGCTTGTCGTAAGAGGTGACTAACGGGATCGGGTGGTCCTTCTCGCTGACTTGGTTGACACATGTCATCATATCTAATTGCGTAGATCGATGCTCATGATGTTAATCACTGGATTGTCTGGTCCAGACTCGATTATTTACAGACCGACGCCATATAGCTGGAATATTGCTGAGTGCGGAGTAAAACTAAACTCACTCATTGACAAACTAACAGTCATTACACTGTATATGTACATATACATAGTTCCATATAAGCATCATCTAGGAGAATTCGGGGCTTTTTTCAGCCTCAAACAGAGACATAATCTTTTTTCATCTTTTACTGAAAATCTATACTATAAATCTGTGTAAGTGTAGCAGTTTGCGTTGCAGTAATTTCAAACAGGCGTTCGTGATTGGATGTCGTCCATTCAACTTACATGAGTATCTATACAAGTATATAAAAGTTTAAATAATGCATGTTATACATTGTCAATCACCTCTCTCACCCTCAAGCCTGCCGTACGATTTATTACAGATAGAGTTCATGGGCATGCTTATTTTGATAAAATGCGTTTTGTTTGAACACAGAGTTTTAAAAAATCAATTATTTACTTGCTGCTTTAATTCTTATCATTGTTGCTTTATGAACATGTCGCCCTCAGTTCACCAGTCACATTCATGTATAGGGGTATTACATGGCTGTTTTACATTGCAACATGTCGTGGTTTTGAAAAGACGTCAGCTTTACTGTACTTTCCCTTTTTATGTCCACAAACTATAAATATTCGCTTCTTGTCATTGAGTTTATTATTATTTTTATCCCTTAAAAACAAATGTTTATCAAACAGAGATTTTCCTCCAGTTATTGTGTGATATTTGTACTATAAAGTTTGTGATGCTATATCAAGATTGTTAGTGTCACTTGTCAATATTTTGTGCCAATGTTGGTACACCGAGACCTCTCCGTCTAAAATACATACCTTTTTGATGTCCGCGATGAAAGACGAAAGTTGGAATGTTCATTGCGCGATTTATATCGCGATTTATACTGTATGCATGGCTCTACCGGTGTCCACACTTATATATTACCTACATACGAATAAACAATGCCTTTTTCAAAAAAATAATGAAAATGGCTATCTCGTTCATACATCAGAACATATTGTATTTGCCCACAGTTTTTGGACAAGCCTAGCTATAATAAAAAATCTTAACCGCTTGGGACAATTAGGGGGTGTATTTAAAAAAAACCGGCGAACTGTTTACCCAAATCATTTGGGACCAACTTGTGATATTCCGGGACGAATGTGAGATATGAAGTGAGAGGGTGAGTCAGTTTGGTTTTACACCGCTTTTGGCAATGTTCCAGCAGTATCAGAAATATCCAGAAATGAGCTTCACACATTGTACTCAGATGGGGAATCGAACCAGGGTCTTCGGCGTGGCGAGCGAACGCTTTAACCACTAGGCTACCCCACCACCGGGATATGAGAGATGGGCCCCTGGCCAACATGTGAGGCTTTTTTTCAGCATTCAGTACGATAAAGTCCCACATACTAATGCAGAAACATTATGAAGGTCAACAGTAATATCATTAACTGGATTGGGTCCTTCCTGACGCAACGCACACAGTTCGTACGCTGTAACCGACGTTGATTAGCACTACAGGGGCTCCCCTAGACTAACAACTAGTCTCTGAAATGAACATATTTTACTGAAAAAAGTTCATAGTAAAAAAAAATATATATAATGAAAAGGAGCCCTGAGACTTTCTTCATTTTCAGATCTAGATTTGCCACAGTTTCTAGACTTGTGTGGGCTTTCTTGGATATATTTGCTTCAGGGCCTGTACGACAGACTAGGGTTCCCCAAGGTTGTGTTGTATCACCGGTTTTGTTCATGTCATATACCAACCGCTGTGCCTGGCTCTACAATACACGGATGGCGCCACACTAACGGGACTAATAGTTCCCTCAGAGGACAGTAATCGGCTGATATTAAGAGGTTTACAGACTGATGCCATAATCATGTAACTATAAACGTTAAAAAACTAAGGCGTCGGTTACAGACTTACGTCCCAGAACACAGCAATACAACCTGTTTATATTCATAATGAACATTTAGATGTTGTTACAGTACAAATAAGCACAAATATCTCAGATGCTATAGACTCTAAACTTACCTGGAATTCAAACAATCATTACATTTATGCTAAAGACCAACAAAGAGGCTTTTTTTACGCAAACTTCATTCTTTCCATGTCACTGCTAACATTTTATCCTTATTCAAAGTGCTTTAACTTTCTGTTTTCATTCTTGGTATGCAAGTCTGTCTGTGGTAAACCAAAAAAAAGCAAAAGTGTCCTTTCAGCTCGCAAAATATGCAGTGCTTAATTTGATAATCTAACAGTGAGAAAAGAGAGACAAGGCAAGCACAAAAAAACTGCCTCTTACACCTCTCATTTCCTCAACAAGGAGTACAACCGTCTCCCCTCTTCCGCAGATGTTTTAAGCAAACCTTTTAAAAGACTAACCGCGATCCCTGACGTCTTTGATCCCTGCAGTATTAAGTTCTTAAATAAGATTGGTTGAGTGAAGTTAGCTTTTCGCTAATATCACGGCGAAGGACACCAGAAATGGGCTTCACACATATTGTATTCAAGTGGGGAATCGAACCCGGGTCTTCGGTGTGACAGTCGAACGCTTTAACCTCTAAGCTACCTCCCCTCTTAAATAGACCCGTGAAGATCCGGGGTAGAATAGGTCTTCAGCAACCCATGTGCTTGCCATAAAAGGCGACTATGCTTGTCGTAAGAGGCGACTAACGGGGTCGGGTGGTCAGTTTCGCTGACTTGGTTGACACATGTCATCGGTTCCCAATTGCGCAGATCGATGCTCATGCTGTTGTTCACTGGATTGTCTGGTCCAGACTCGATTATTTACAGACCGCCGCCATATAGCTGGGATATTGCGGAGTGCGGCGTAAAACTAAACTCACTTACTCACTCACTTCAGTAATAAGTCATAATTTTTAATGATTTTTTCTTCTTTTTTTTGGTATATCATTATAAGGTAACACTTCTCCTCTGTTTGGTACAAACATGCGTTATAATGGTGTTTATCTAATGGATTTGAGCAATTTGTGTTAATGCGTTTTTACAATGTGTATTTTACTTTTTGTAATACAACACAATTTCTCCCAGAGAAAATAAAAGCAGTATTCCCTATAAGCTCCTTTCAGCGATATCTTGACGCCTTCTGAACAGCTAAACAGTAACGAATGATCGGCCTACACGTGCTGTGGCAGAGCACGAACACGTCCGTATCAGAATCTCGCGTTAGGTCTCGCGTGATCTGTCATGGCGTCGTAGCAGACTGCATTTGGTTCGTGGCAGAAACAATTTACTACAACCATGAATCTGGCTTTCAGCGACACAGGAATGACACTTGCCATCAACGCAGCTATGTCTGCGTGTGGCTTCCTGCTATGTTTAAACATAATTCCAAAATTTGGAAGCATGTTTGTCAAGGCGAATCTGTTTGGTGTGGACATGAGTAAACGATCTAAAGCCAAAGTGTGAGTATGCCTACAGCTGACGTACCGCGGGTTGTGTTGCATCAGCTGTCATTTCATTTCAGTGCATTCACATGATCAATTCTCGGACATGTCTGAACAAACGAATTGAAATTGATTTTTTATATGTACCCATGTCGACACGTTTCGTTTCATGAAATGCCTAATATGTTTAATGTTTTCACAAAGACTAAATTGAAAGTATACGTAGGACAAAGAGCTCTAGCATAAAGACAGGTTTCTTCTATTCTAAACATGCCAATACTGCTGGACATGTGTGATATAGTTGCAGAACATTTGGAATGTGGTTGAACTGCTGAACACGTATCATTATTTGTTCAGCCTATTTTTTCTTTAACAAGGAACCTATACTGTCGGATCATAGATTTTTCAGACGTCATACGTTTTTTGTTGTTTTTTTTGCTCACTTGCACTTTAATGAGGCATAACAAAGACTTTGCAAATTCTTGAATGATGGTTTGTGCTATAATCTAGACAGCAACTGAGGTTCTTAAGTGTCTGAATACTTATAACATGAGGATACAAGAACTGCCCACTGTGTCAGGGATGATCATGACAGTAAGCTTAAAATTGCAACTAACTAAAAATAGGCACAGATGGGATATAAGGGTTTGCAAGATTGTAATCTAAGGTCAGTGTGATGGCAACTTGAAACAAAATGTCACTGAAACAATATCCAACAAAATGTCTGTTTTAGTGTTAAATATGAACAATTACTACTTCTTAAGTAGATCACTCTGTATACATATATAAATGGAAATTGCACTATATTCTGTATTAGGAGACCAAGTGGAGACTACACTGATAGGACATGGCTTATGCACATTAGCTATGCCAAATATCACTAACTTGTTTGTGTGAGAATATATCTGGGAAACACTGAGTGCATAATAGGAATGCCAGCTCTCACAAATCACCAGTTTGATTACTCATTTTATGAACACACCATGTAGACCACAGTTCTTAAGAGCTATGACCTACCCACACTCAGTCTAATTTTGCCCTCCAATTGCATGATTATGTTTTGAACTGTCACTACCATAGCTATGACTTTTTTTTAACTCATATGAGTTTAATTTTATGCATACTATGTGCTATTAACGCTATTAGCAATAGCAGATTAGCTAATTACACTTGGTTTTGCTTCATTAATCTGGCGGTACGTCAAAAAAAAGTTTGGATAATCACCTTACCTCGTGAGCACCATTGATTAGTGCTGATCTTCATCGTTAAACTTCAATGGTAATTGATAAGTGAGGTGACACTTCTGAGTTGAACATGTCGTTAGTGTCATTTTGATCAATTAATAGGTCTCACTTGTGAAAACTCAACTGGCACTATCAAAATTAAGCCGTTAATCATCACGATTTCTTTAAACCCGAGTGAGTTTCTGAGTTTTGATTGTTATACAAACTGTAAAAAAAAGTCATTTGATACATGTAAATGTATATGATCTTATGTTCTTGTCTCAGTATGTCAAAGGGAAGTAACTCTACTGTAGTGGTGTACATAATGTTTTGTTTCAGTAGTCTGTATGTTTCACTATCCAAATGTTTTTGATGAAAAACGGAAGTGTTCGGATTAACATGGCCTGACTGTACATACTTCCGTTTCAGACCAGAGGCACTGGGTGTGATATGTGGAGCTGTGTTCCTGATTGTCATGTTCCTCTTCATCCCCGTACCCTTCTACAAGCACCTGTCGGACACCGACGCTGCCAAGTTCCCCTATCATGAGGTAATGGTTATCACCAAGAAGGTGGAGTTAGGAGAGTAGTTAGATGGGTGACCATGTTAGCATTTCGATGCCTCCATGTTACTGGGGCTTCATACCTGACCCACGTTGAAGCTCATGTAGCATGTGCTGTCTCCTTAGGCCAGGGACTTGGCTTTAAATATGTGTCTGGTCACCCAGCAGCGAATGATATCTGATAGGATCATTGTCATTGTCAGTAAACATCCAGTAGATGTATGATCTCATTCATTATACAGGAATATATGGATGTTTTTTATCATGCTTATCATTGTGTTTTAGTACTTCAATTCTTTAATTTGGTTTCTAACGAAGGAATTAGTGATGATGAAATATATGATTATGTCCATCATTAGTTACAATTGTGAGCGGTTAGTTGAGTAAACTTAATATTTTGAATATATATGACAATGAAAAGGCTGCTTGGAATGTTGCCATGGCAGTGCAATATTAAAGTGTCACAAGAGATTTTTTTATGTTCGGCAATAGGGCTTCCACGGGTACTCGAGTACTCGAGGACGAGTCGGGTTTAGCTGGACTCGAGTCCATTTTCAAGGACTCGAGGACTCGAAAAGGGGAGATAACTCGAATTATTGACGTTGACAGACTGCCTGCCATGTGCTAAGCATGGGCGGCCGTTAACGTCTAATATTAAGATAAGATATAACTTTATTATCCCGGAGGAAATTCTTATACATCCAACTGTCTCAATATGAATATGTACACAGTTCACAAAAATATACACAATAATTACATGCTCAAAACGAATGCTATTTACACAATAAAACTGACATGATATAATTCAATTAACCACATTGGTAAAGAGGCTGAATAATTCTAGTTATAATCACGTGATGGTGATTAAAAAATATGTGTTGTATTCACGAATACTTGATGGTATGAAAGACTGTCGAACTCTGTTTTGAGGGAAGGTAATCGACAGCAGCGTCCAGAAGGAAGTAGTTCAAAATGGTGAGATTAAATATGTCAACTATCAAATCTAATTTTAGTTGCCTTTGTGACAATCTGGCGCTCAGAGATAAAGGGAATATACTTGAAAGACACCCCAGAAATTTTGCATGCAGTATTAACAATTTTGAAAAGCTTGTTTTTGTTGCAATGAGACAGACCCCCATACCAACATAGAAAATTGTTGGTCAACACACTTTGAATAAAGGTTTGATAAAAAACTGTCATTACGGTTTTGTCAATGCCTTGACGATAATAATGTTCAGAATCGGAAATTAGGCCAGTACAGTGGCGTCACTGCGAATTTCACAGTAAACACGTCATTTATTGACAAGTAACAGTCATTGGTATACAAAACGAAGAGTACGGATGAAGGAACACAGCCATTTGGTTCTGCAGTAGAATTTGAGAGAAAAGAAGATTGATAGCCATTTACACTGACATACTGAGTACTATGTACCCTGAATTCTTTAACCCATCTGATAATGTTTTTATTAACACCTAGATTAAATAGTTTACTCCTCACACGGTGTGGCTGTATGGTATTAGTTGTTACAAGTCTGCAGATGAGAGTTAATATTATACATCGTTTGAAATTTCACTTCTTAAAATGATAAGGTAACTATCTTGACAATTGATAGACATAGAGAAAGATAAAAAAATCAAATGTATGGGCGTATCTTGATCTGGATAGAGAAAAGAGAAAAATAACCCAATGCCGCCTGTGCGGTATATCACTGCGTTTTGCAGGCAGTACAAGAAGAACGATGAAAAAAACAAGTGTCAAGTAAACATCCTAATACTGATTCTGACCAATGGGAAATGTTAGTCACATAACGATATGAAGTCGGAATGAAGTAAGTAGTCAGTTGTGTGATCGGAACACATGTCATGCAAATTACGCTATTGTTTGCTTGAAAGGTATGAATTTCGAGTACTCGGGTCCGAGTCGAGTCTCACCCCTCGAGTACTCGAGTCCAAGAAAATGGACTCGTTGAAGCCCTATTCGGCAAGAAGAATTTATGCTCAATATGTATTGTTTTGCTATTAAATTAATAGTCAATCCAAAGCCCTTTCTTTAATTAAATAAATAATTAATCATGAAATATAAGCAAGTCCTTACACTGTTTCAGTATGTGGAGTTTATAGCAGCCCTCCTGTCTATCTGCTGTATGATATTTCTGGGATTTGCCGACGATGTCCTTGATCTGAAATGGCGACACAAGTTGCTACTGCCGACAATGGCATCCTTGCCACTACTGATGGTGTACTTCGTCAACTTCAATTCTACAACCATCATTGTACCCAAACCTCTTAGGTTGTTGCTTGGGTATGATGTCAACTTAGGTAAGACATGGTGGCAGCTTTACATTCATTCATTTTCACTGTCACTAGTGTCAGTTCAGCGTCTGATCCATACAGTACTCAGGTCACAAATTAGGTAAACTTCAGCACTGTAGGTTGTGGAGAGAAGCTGAATATGTGTCAGTGGTCAGCCTAGCTCCTGAGACTTTCTAGGGCTTATGTCCAGCCTCACAGTGAAGCACATGCAGCATTGTGGCTCTGTTGGAAGTATCCCTGTGTTCTCCCAGCAGTGAATGGGTACCTGGTAGATTTAGATGGTAATGTGAATGTTAACCTCCTGCAGCCCTCAAAGATGAGAATTAAAGTCAAATGCAAACTGATCCTCTGACCTGGGTAATACAGATGTGCTTTGAGCATGCATTAAGGTGTGGGTCGGGCATATTATAGACAGGCATGTTATCATATGGATCATCAGAGTATTATCTGATGTTCTGTCATCATCATTCATTTTGTAAGTATGTACTACATTTTCCAAATGAAAACTGTAATTTTACCTCTATGAAAACTAAGGCTGTAACGATTCACTCGCATATTCGGTGAATCGAACCGTAGCCCTTAATGAATTCAATTCATTATTCGTGGTCATAAGAACCAAATATTCATGAATATTTACAATTTTTATAAGGGAGTGTGTTTTACTTGAACCCTATGTCCTTTTTTCAAAACGAGATATGCAAGAATGCAATATGTACTAGCCTTGTAGTAGCCCAAGTCATGTTAGTTTGCCAAGGCCACGCAAGGTACTGTCAACTATAACTATTACATACCAAATTTGAGTGTCATGAGATGACTGGTTATTGCTGAGACAAATTAACACTGTCACCATTGGCATTCAATATTGTGCATCAATCATTTAACTACAATATTGTATTCATGAATAATTATTCGTATTCGTTACCTAATATTCGTGATACGTATCATATTCGCAACATAGTGTATTCGTTACAGCCCTAAATTGAAAACTTACTTTTCTTATGTTGAATGTTAAGGGTGTAAGGATTCATCAAATATTCAGTGCCTTTAGATACTGTTGGGCAGTGTTGATGCCAGTATGCAATACAAGGGTGATGTGAAGCAGTATTAGTTATCAACTTTACACTATTATTTTGTGCAAGTACAAGAGGTCTCAAGCCACAGTTATATTACAGACACTATACATGAAATATGTCCGGATTCTGTTCATTATGTTTGATGATCAAAATGTTTCCTCTACTATGTTGGCATGACTTTTCTTATACTGAGCATTATGTTGCAGTCTTCCTGCTAGGATGTGTACAGGATTACTGATTATATATTATAAATTACACAGAATTGCTGTACTATGTATATATTCCACAGGGCTGCAGTACTATGTATATATTCCACAGGGCTGCTGTACTATGTCTACATGGGGATGCTAGCTGTGTTTTGCACCAATGCGATCAACATTTTGTCTGGAGTCAATGGCTTGGAGGTTGGACAGTCCTGGGTCATCGCGATCTCTGTACTCATCCATAACTTTATAGAGCTGTCAGGTAAATCACAGGGATACTGTGCCATATCCTCATTAAGCCATATTTTAAATGTCTTGTTGTACAAATGTCTCTGAATAAAAGTACATGTATATTATTATTATTAACGTAGCCATGTAGGTGTAGATCATGTATATTCCCTTCCAACCATTGACAGTACTGTACAGACTTGTGTACACTTTAAACTATTGTTCTTCAATTACCTGTCAGTTCACGCAGTTGCTGTGTCGTCTAGTAGGGGCATGTATCTATTTATAGACTAATATAGTCTGTTTTAATCAAGTTTATGAAAGGGAACCTATTTCCAACTCTTGTGACATAAAGGTCAAATAAACCCTACTCTATACATGAATTTGAAACCCTACACTGTCTGATATTGAAGTGATGTTGTGAATGTCAAGTTGCAATGTCAAACAAATGTTGCACACATTGTTAAGTTAGAAACATTGCCACAGTGGTCTGACCTCTCACTTGCTTCCCTTGTGCTGTAACCATGCTATTGGTTGGTTCATTGGTTAATACTTAGAACTGTGATGTGTATTCACAGGTTATGGGGGATTTATTGTATGTATAAACTCTTGAAATATTAACAAGCTTTCATGACAAGCAAGGGCTACACTGCTGACTGGTTATTGTATCTTGAACAGTGTCTGACTGTCATATTATTTCATTATTATTATTATTGCATCATGCTGCATCAGGTGGAAGTGTTCCTGTGTGTGAAGGTAATCGCTCAGTGGAAGTGTTTCTGTATGTTTGCTGGACCAGTCAGACTGATATCTTGGACATGTATTTTCATGATGTTCTATTTGTCATTGCAGGAGATTATCGGTCAAACCATGTGTTCTCCATGTATTTCATAATGCCCTTCTTTGGAGTGTGTTCAGCGCTGCTTTATCACAACTGGTGAGTTTGTAAGTGAGTGAGTTAAAATTTAACGTTGTATCGGCATTGTTTCAGTCATATAGCGACGGTGAGTTTGTAAGTGAGTGAGTTAAAATTTAACGTCGTATCAGCATTGTTTCAGCCATACAGCGACAGTGAGTTTGTATCTTTCCTTTGTTATTACTAATCAGCTTCTGAAATGCCAATCAAAGAGACTAAAAAGGTGTTTTCAGAGAAATCATAGCAGACGATTTTTCCATAAATACTCATGTTCAGCTCTCAATGTCAAAAGCAATGGTGTATATCTGAACTGTTCCATCACAGTGACATGCTGTCAACCATATTGACATACTGACCACCAATCCTGGTCACCTCTTATCAAGTGCACAGGTTACTATGGTTACTGCAGACCAATGTAATTGCAGCAAGTCATAGCATTTTGTCTGTAAGAGATTTTATCAAAAACTGTATGATCTGATTATAACACACCCACCCATTCATACACCACACCACACCACACCACAACACAACACAACACAACACCATAACAACACAACACAACACAGCACACACAACCCTTTTCTTTCACCTGCAGCCTTCCATGTGAACCTGTGTGTTGTTTTTCCCCAGGTACCCATCGAGAGTGTTTGTGGGTGACACTTTCTGCTACTTTGCTGGGATGACATTTGCAGTTGTTGCCATCCTGGGACATTTCAGCAAGACCATGCTGCTCTTCTTTGTCCCCCAAGTCTTCAACTTCCTATACTCTGTGCCACAGTTGTTTAAGCTGGTGCCCTGTCCTCGACATCGCTTACCCAAGTAGGTATTACATGGCTGAGACAGATCGTCACATAGTTGTACGCTGCACAAATATATGAAACACTCAGGTTCAATGGAGGCACACAGGCAGTGAGAGGTGCATGTGTGCGTCCCTATCCACACTAGTGGTGTTCCAATTAATTGAAATAATTGAAGATTGGTCAAAGTGACCAAACGACCAGGCAATCGATCACAGTTTCTCATAATCGAACACAAACGATTTTGGAACTACTGTTTTAGTGTTTGAAACACTTGATGATGGAACATATCTAGGACGTTGTCAGGGCCTGAAAACTTGTTTAATTCTTAGAAAACTCACTTCACTAACTGAAAAGTCATGACTGAATATTTCTTGAAGACCCCAGAAGGTTTATGTTCATGATATATCAACATCACTTTAAAGTAGCAAGGTGCATCATGTGATACATATCTGCAATAACGACCTGAATAGAAAATCTGAAAATTGATGCCAACCAATTTTTATCGATGATTGTTCGTTAGTAATAAAGCAATCATCAATTATGAGATTTCAACCAATTCTCAACACTAATCCACACCCCTCTGTTTCAGAATACTTACCATATGTACATATATAAATGTTAAGTTACTGTTTGTTCTAAATATGTACTAATTGTAACACCTAAATACATCATTTGAAAGTATCAGAATGTCTTGTCCAGTCTCCATATAGCTGGAATATTGTTGAGTGCGACATTAAACAACAAACAGACAAATGAACATATGTTTGAACCAAATAACCACAACTGCAAAATTTCGGGTCTTTTTAGAACTACTGTATACTAACCAGTCATTGAGGATCAGCAGATAGACTGAAACCTAGCTATATAGTCATTCCTATGTATCCATTTGTACTTCAGATATGACCCCAAGTCTGATAAAGTTGGGATGAGTTACACAACCTTCAAAAAGGGTGACCTTCACCCTGTCGGTGACCTGTGCCTGAAGGTGCTGAGGTTATTATTCCTGGTGGAGGTGAAGGACGGGCAGGGGGAAGATGGGAAGTTGACAGAGTGCAACAACTTGACTCTCAACAACCTGATCCTCAAGTTTATGGGACCTCTACATGAGAGGACTCTCGTTATAATAATTCTGGGTTTTCAGGTGAGAGAACTTTCGCCTGCTCCAAAAACTCTAAAACCGTGGCTTGTTTGTCTTTATAATAACTGTAAATTTGTGTATTTATACTGTTAAGAAAAAGTGAAGAAGGAAGAAAAGTGATTGCTTAGATATACGTAGTTTATGATGTTGTCACAAGATGAAACATGTCTCACCCACAGGATCTGAATCCACAAAGTTTGTACCACATGTTTACACATCGTTTAGCACAGCAAACAAATATTCTAATAAATATCTACTTACATGAAGACTAGTAGTGGTGATATTTATGTTATTTTCAGTGTATTCTCAGTATCTAACACACAATATCAGTCAGTGTCAGTTAGACATGTTAGACTAGACTGACTGACTGACTGAGTTTGATTTTACGCCGCTTTTAGCTATATTCCAGCAACATCACGGCAGGGGACACCAGAAATGGGCTTCACAAATTGTACCCATGTGGGGATTCGAACCCGGGTTTTTGGCGTGACGAGCCAACGCTTTAACCACTTGGCTACCCCACCGCCCCAGACAGGTTAGAAGCTGTAATATAAGTGAAAAGCAGGTATCTTATTTGTTTCAAATTTTTTCCTCTTATTTTGTAAGAGGATTTCATTGTTGAACTTTTGGGAATTTTTATTGTAATATTGGTTGGACGATTGCTTACTCCCTCAATGTTGTATTTTTGTTTTGTTTCAGGTATTCTGCAGCGCTGTTGCATTTCTCATCCGATATCAGCTGTCAAGACTGTTTTATGATTCATGAATCAAGCCATGATTCATCTGTTGTTATATTTTGTTTTGCTTGTATTTTACAACATCATTCGACTGTGTTGATTATTGTCAAACATATTTATTACTTAGTTTAGGTAACCATGGTGAAATTGTTGTGCCATTGCGATGTGTGTCTGAGAAAATATACCTCCACTGTTTATGGTTCTTCGATTGTCTTACTTTTTTCAATTTTATTTAATGGTTCACAAAAGTATTTTCCAGAACCATGGGGTTGCAGTAAAGATAGAAACAAGAAGTGGAAACAGTTATGTTCCTTGACATGATCCAGAATCTGTATCCACAGTATGTGTAGCACTATGCCAAATGCAAGCCTATAGTAAAGTACAGTCGAGCACCGTTTTGTCGAACTCTGATAACTCGATATCTCGGTTGTCTCGATATAACATCTCGGTCCTGGCAAAATCCTTCATAATTTATCATTATTCAAGCTTTTTTAACTCGATGCGGATGTCTCGATATTTCGGATATCTCAATATAATATCATGGTCCCATCAAGCAAAAGTACCCTATTAACTCGATATTTGCAAAGAAACTTGATATTCACCTACCTTTCATGGGCAATTATCCCCTCTGAACTGAAACAGGGGAGATGAGGAGTTGTTGTTTTAACAATGTGTGGTAGTATTGGGATGTGGATGTTTTGGGATGTGGAAGTTTTGGCATAGAACCTGTTTCCACATGTTTACAGACGGTGTGGCATGAATCAAAGGGATCCGGTAGTGTAAACTAATTAGGGCTAATTAAGTTGAAGGTGTGACTTGTTTGTTATTTAATTAGGATTAATTAAGAAGGAATTAATTAGGAAGTACTCACTGTTACGACTAAACACTACTGATAACGGATTATAGTATCGAATCAAAACATACTGAGAAGCATTTTGTTTTGTTTCATAGTGGTATGTGATGATTTGCCCTGGTCGGATGTCTCGAAGTTCGGATAACTCGATATTTTTTCTTGGTCCCATGAATATCGAGACAACGGTGCTCGACTGTATAGAGTTACAATAGATTGTAACATTACGAACATTGGGTGGATCAGGACCCTGATTATTTTGTTCATGGGATTAGTTCCCAGGGTTTATGGTTAATTGGAAACATGTTAACATGATCTCTTATTATTGACTTATGTTATGTGGGGTGAAATATAAGTATATGAAACAAAAGAAAAAGATCTCTTCATGTTGGTCAAAGTTTTCTTCCCTGTTCTTCATCTGTGAATTAAAAAGGTAATTATTCCACGGTTCGGTGGGCTGATTGATAATGTATGTGAGATGAAACTGTTTCGTCTGATTTTCCCTGAGACTAAATACAGAGTTACCTCCTCAGCACTGCCATCACTTTGTTGAGCATGGGCCTGGATCTGCCTCTGGTGTGTATCCTCTCTCTGTTGTTATTGCATGTGATGTCCTCGTCTTGCTGATAACTATGTTTTACGTGCCTCTGTATCATCAAACAGCACACTTTGTGTTTTATTAACTCCAGTGTTGTGTTTTTGACACAAGAAAGAATGAGTTGAAATACCAATAATCTAATTAAAAATACATACTGATTAGGCCAAGTCGGTAATGACAGACTGAAGTTAGTAATGAGAAGTGAAGAGAGTCGACTAGTAATGACAGACAAATTTCCCTTAACAGACACATTGGGCATGTGTGGAGTTTCCTATATATCTGTCCATCATTGAATAGTCAGCTGTCTGAACAGATACCTGGAATTTTGTACAAAGAAAATGTGTTCATAAAATTATAAAAAGGTTATGTTTTAAAGGAATGATTGTTCAGTGGAGGCCCTGAAAAGAATTTATCTACTCTTGATGTTTTTATCTTGAAGCAGTGATGGAATATTTATTGATCAGCTCGAAAATGTGAAGACTGCCTTCAAACCTTATGTTCAAGAGTTGTTACACTTCTAAAGAGGCTTGGAGCCCAGCAAGCACTTGTCTAGTTATCTGCGAACTCCAATCTTGTGACAAATACAATCAAAAGAAGTTACAGCACTCTCGGTGTTTTCCTACGCCATATTAACCTGTCATGTGTGATATGTATTGCAACACACTGCCTTCCATATATTGGTGTTTTTTACTTATTTTTGCAAATATGTATTATGATGATGATGCTAGTTTCTCTGCAGTAAGTTTAGAGATTCTCACATGAAGCTGGTTACAATATCCAGACCTTGACTGAATATTAATTTAAATTGTCGTATTACTTTGTGATTTTAATGGTATTGTGTCGAAAGCCACAATTTATGGAATGGATCCTAAAATGTATCATCGAATATTTGCTGATTTCATAAGGATTAATTATTTCAACCATATATGAAGTCATTCACACAAAAGTACCTCAAAATGTGCTGAAAAAAATCTTATCCCTTTGCATACAGTTATTTGGTTCATTTGTCCTTTATCTAATATAATTTGTTATTTACATCCATATCAAATACTTCAATAGGGGAGCTCCTGTACCTGTGCTATTCTGGGTATGAATAATAATGGGATAGTAAGTCTGACCACGTCATGTTGTACATGGTTCGCTCTTATAGCTGAGTTTGGATGTGTGTAGTTGATGTTGAAATCTAGAGGAAATAGGATGCAAGTACAGTGTACATGTGTGTAGTTGATGTTGAATACTTAATGTGATCACAGCTCAAGAGGTTTCAGGGATCTGGACTCCAGAATAATCAAAATTAGACCAGAGACCATATGGTCTCTGATTAGATGTAGATGTTTTTCCCAGGGTGATTTTGTTTATTTGAATAGTTTGTTTCTTGTCTCTTTATGGTTACCCAGATGAAATTATCGATTGCTTGACAATTTACCATATTTCATTATTATGATGATTATTATAATAATCTACTGTTATAAGAGCTAAAACATACCACTAATGTTAGTACAGTACAACCGCAATGATGTTGATCACTGGATTGGCTGGTCCAGTCTTGATTATTCACAGACAGCGTAGGCGGATCCAGAGGGGGGTTATAGGGGTGCGCCCCCGTTTGTCCTGAAAGTTTATTTAATTACCACTGAAACTCTCGTGAAAACGGGTGAAAATGAACTGTGCATCCCCCCCTTTCTCAATAAGCTGTATCCGCCCCTGGACTGCTGGCACCTAGCTGGAATATTGCTGAGGTCAGCGTTAAACATCAAACAACCAACCATTACAACCAGTGTGTGAAATAGCCACTAGCCCTCTAGCATGTGGGTAGTAAAAATCCATTCAAGCCAGTAAATCTCCACAGTCACTGGCCCGACTGGCTAGTGGATTTCCAGGGGGTCATTTTCTAAATGTATCACTCTCTGACTTGTTAATTTATGATACACTTTTAAATCATGCAAGACTATGGCCTGATAAAAATGTTTATCATATTAATGCTAAGATCACTTTTCAACAGGGCCCTGTATGCAACAATTATGATGACAATGAGGCATGAGGCATGGACCCTTTGCCTGTAATAGATCAGATCAGTTGACATTAATTTACTGTTTTATGAGACCCAGCCTCTTCCCTCACCCACAAACTGATCAGTTTACAATTATTAGATGTTTTAGTAGACTTTATTTATAGAAGAAAGATGGTAATTAAAAGTAAATTTACACAACAATATTATGTCCATGCTTCTATGTTGAATATGTGTAAAAATGTTTATCGCTGTACTTGTTTTGCTAATAAAATAACACAGATTAAATCTCTCTTCATTCATGCTTTTTGGGAAATGGCAGCCTTGAAGGCAGAGAGTTGTATCCCTTGACCATTCCAGGATTGCTTGGTAGTGCACCCAAGGCTCTTGTGTCCCTTGACCATTCAAGGAGTGCATGGTAGTGCACCCAAGGCACTTGTGTCCCTTGACCATTCCAGGATTGCATGGTAGTGCACCCAAGGCTCTTGTGTCCCTTGACCATTCCAGGATTGCATGGTAGTGCACCCAAGGCTCTTGTGTCCCTTGACCATTCCAGGATTGTATGGTAGTGCACCCAAGGCATATGTGTCACTTGACCATTCCAGGAGTGCATGGTAGTGCACCCAAGCCACTTGTGTCCCTTGACCATTCCAGGATTGCATGGTAGTGCACCCAAGGCACTTGTGTCCCTTGACCATTCCAGGATTGCATGGTAGTGCACCATACGCAGTTGTGTCACTTGACCATTCCAGGATTGCATGGTAGTGCACCATACGCAGTTGTGTCCCTTGACCATTCCAGGAGTGCATGGTAGTGCACCCAAGGCACTTGTGTCCCTTGACCATTCCAGGATTGCATGGTAGTGCACCATACGCAGTTGTGTCCCTTGACCATTCCAGGATTGCATGGTAGTGCACCCAAGGCACTTGTGTCCCTTGACCATTCCAGGATTGCATGGTAGTGCCCCCAAGGCACTTGTGTCCCTTGACCATTCCAGGATTGCATGGTAGTGCACCCAAGCCACTTGTGTCACTTGAACATTCCAGGATTGCATGGTAGTGCACCCAAGGCACTTGTGTCGCTTGACCATTCCAGGATTGCATGGTAGTGCACCATACGCAGTTGTGTCCCTTGACCATTCCAGGATTGCATGGTAGTGCACCATACGCAGTTGTGTCCCTTGACCATTCCAGGATTGCATGGTAGTGCACCCAAGGCACTTGTGTCCCTTGACCATTCCAGGATTGTATGGTAGTGCACCATACGCAGTTGTGTCCCTTGACCATTTTAGGATTGCATGGTAGTGCACCCTAGGCACTTGTGTCCCTTGACCATTCCAGGATTGCATGGTAGTGCACCCAAGGCACTTGTGTCCCTTGACCATTCCAGGATTGCATGGTAGTGCACCCAAGCCACTTGTGTCCCTTGACCATTCAAGGATTGCATGGTAGTGCACCCAAGGCACTTGTGTCCTTTGAACATTCCAGAATTGCATGGTAGTGCACCCAAGGCACTTGTGTCGCTTGACCATGCCAGGATTGCATGGTAGTGCACCATACGCAGTTGTGTCCCTTGACCATTCCAGGAGTGCATGGTAGTGCACCCAAGGCACTTGTGTCCCTTGACCATTCCAGGATTGCATGGTAGTGCACCATACGCAGTTGTGTCCCTTGACCATTCCAGGATTGCATGGCAGTGCACCCAAGGCACTTGTGTCCCTTGACCATTCCAGGATTGCATGGTAGTGCACCCAAGGCACTTGTGTCCCTTGAAGATTCCAGAATTGCATGGTAGTGCACCCAAGCCACTTTTGTCACTTGAACATTCCAGGAGTGCATGGTAGTGCACCCAAGGCACTTGTGTCCCTTGAACATTCCAGAATTGCATGGTAGTGCACCCAAGGCACTTATGTCGCTTGACCATTCCAGGATTGCATGGTAGTGCACCATACGCAGTTGTGTCCCTTGACCATTCCAGGATTGCATGGCAGTGCACCCAAGGCACTTGTGTCCCTTGACCATTCCAGGATTGCATGGTAGTGCCCCCAAGGCACTTGTGTCGCTTGACCATTCCAGGATTGCATGGTAGTGCACCCAAGCCACTTGTGTCACTTGAACATTCCAGGATTGCATGGTAGTGCACCCAAGGCACTTGTGTCCCTTGAACATTCCAGGATTGCATGGTAGTGCACCCAAGCCACTTGTGTCACTTGAACATTCCAGGATTGCATGGTAGTGCACCCAAGGCACTTGTGTCGCTTGACCATTCCAGAATTGCATGGTAGTGCACCCAAGGCACTTGTGTCGCTTGACCATTCCAGGATTGCATGGTAGTGCACCCAAGGCACTTGTGTCGCTTGACCATTCCAGGATTGCATGGTAGTGCACCCAAGGCACTTGTGTCCCTTGACCATTCCAGGATTGCATGGTAGTGCACCCAAGGCACTTGTGTCCCTTGAACATTCCAGGATTGCATGGTAGTGCACCCAAGGCACTTGTGTCGCTTGACCATTCCAGGATTGCATGGTAGTGCACCCAAGCCACTTGTGTCACTTGAACATTCCAGGATTGCATGGTAGTGCACCCAAGGCACTTGTGTCGCTTGACCATTCCAGGATTGCATGGTAGTGCACCCAAGGCACTTGTGTCCCTTGACCATTCCAGGATTGCATGGTAGTGCACCCTAGGCTCTTGTGTCCCTTGACCATTACAGGATCACACATCTCATGTCTACAATGGTTGAGTGAGTTTGGTTTTGCATTGCTTTTATGAATATTCCAGTGAATTCATCATGGTGTCAGCAAGTGCATGTCCATTGCCGGATCCAGATTTGTATGTGTGTGTGTGTGTGTGTGTGCGTGCGTGCGTGCGCGCGCGCGTGTACGTGTGTGTTGTGTGTGTTTGTTTCAGGGGGTTCGGACCCCCCCACCCCCACTTTTGAGAAGATTTTTGACCACATTGAAGATTTTTGGGTTGGCAGAGCCAGTGGGGAGTTCAGGGGGTGGAAGGTCGCGGGTTCGATCCACGACCGTGTCATACCAAAAGACGTTAAAATATGGTACTTGTTGGTCCCTGCCTGGCGCTCGGCATTAATGGGTACAAGAAGGACTGGTCGGCTCGGAGTCAGTATACTGTGTCTGAGTGGGGTATTCATGCTTCACTGTGGCATGGTATCTCAGTGGGCTAGCACTATAAAACCAGCTTAAGTCATGGCTAGTACAAGCAGCTGCACATACACATACACATGCATGCACGTCGTCATACGAGCGAAATATTCTCAAGCACGACGTTAAATCCAATCTCACCTCACCTCACCAGTGGTGCGTTTGATGAGTCTCCAGCCAGGCTTCCAACTATGGACATGTGCACTGAGTAAGATCAACTTGTTAAACGTGTTTAGAATAACCTGTTGAGTGAAGCAGTCATAAATTATTAATGACCGTGGCGGTAACCTTTGAACACAACACAGCTACAGATGAAGTATTCTTCCTGCGGTCTGACTAAATAAATAAATCGCACAAAGTGAAACAATCTACACTAGATCTCCAACTTATTTTTACAGCTCTACTAAGTGCCACACCAAAGTCCCCGTGAAAGCCGTGAAAGTCAGAATTATGAAATGACAAGTAACAAGTAACAATTGTTTAATTGTTTTATTCAGAAAAAATCACACACACTTCAGAGTTACACTTATCAGACGTTTTGCCTATTACCAACAATATGTCAAAGTCCTGCAGGCCTTCGGGATTTCTTCCCACATTTAGCAGACACGCCGAGATGACACCCAGTTCAAAGCGACTTTAAACCCATTTCACTCGATCACTCACTTATCCAGTCTCACTTTGCATAGATACAGACTTAACTTTTCATTCTCATATTATCACAGAAATAAGGTACAAAACAGAATAACATGAAAACCTTATGTGTATAAACACTTCAAAAACTAGATCCCCACAACAAGTGTTGGTACATGCGGTCAAACAACTAATATTCACCTGGTTATTTTTTTCAAAGTGGGAGATGGGAGGGAGCGTTCGGTGGGTAAAATAAGGGTCGAAATCTACAAAACGGGGGTCCCAGACTCCCCAACTACGAAACGAAGGTCCCAATCTGCAAAATGAAGGTCCAAATCTCCACATGGAGGTCAAAATCAACACCTGCAAAATGGCAACCCCAGACAATTGTCACGCTCAGTGATGTAAGAGTGCGCACGCTCAGAGGCCATTATATATGAGTGAGTGAGTTTATTTTTACGCCGCACTCAGAAATATTGCAGCTATATGGCGGTGGGCTGTAATATGGCGAGTCTGGACCAGACAATCCAGTGATCAACATCATGAGTACCGATGTCCGCAATTTGGGATACGATGACATGAGTCAACCAAGTCAGCAAGCCTGACCACCCAATCCCTTAGATATGATAGATATGGAGTTCTAAACTGATTATATATGTGTTACTAGAACAGTTCACAGATGATGGGCACATTAGGAAATATAGTAGGACATGGAGACAGATAGTTTTCTCAGCAGGCTCTTAAAGATGGCAATGACAAATGTACTCCCATGGCCTTCATGAGACCCGTTCTGAAGGAAGACACATGTTAAAATACTGTTACAGGACACAGATACCTCCTCAATCCAAATGATTGCGAAACCTTAGTATTCCGGTCTTTGGAATATTGGTTAAACGTGGCTGACATTATAGTTTCGCTACAGTACACCCTCGCTATACCAGACACCTTGTATCCGGAGCTCTCTGTAGAGTTGTGACAGGTCGTAATGTTACACTCGCTTTGTGGATTGGGTCCCTTGGGCGTGCTGACTCCGACAGGAAACCTGACAATAGTGACTCTTTGACCCACATGAATGGCAGTACCAAGTCACGTGATCCGTGAACCATGGCAACTGTCATCCGAGCGACATGCATTCTGAGACGATAGTTTGCATGCTCCGAGATAAGTATGTGATGTCACGCTCACCGATTGAATGTGGCTGGGACGGATGTTTTTCATCTTTAAATAACTAAGTCCAATCGCATTTGCATAACAGTCGCGTGATGAACACGGCAATGCGCTAACACAGTCTTCTTAAGAACAGACACAGTCGCAAACCCTTATAACCTTGACCTTCTGTGGAAGACGTGGCGTCCAAGAATGTATTAGAGCCACAACACATAAAACGCCCTTATGTCCAATGATCAATTCAAAACACACAGTTGTCTACTTTGCAGACGGCAAAGTTAAAACGCTCCACGATTTTCGTGGAACACATCCCGGAGGTGAATGACGGAATCCAACGATGATAGCCGATCATGCGGCGTTGTCTTCCGCCGGGATTTCCACTTCCTCCACGGTGATGACTGGACCGCCGCGTCTGAGGAAGGTGACGATGCAGGTGGAGATGAAGGAGATGGCGTACATGGCCCCTGCCATCAGGAACGGCGACATGAACGTCCCAGTTACATCGTACAGTTTACCTGGAAATATAACAGACCAAATATACATCATGAGAGGCCTGAGTGCTGATTGGCTGACGTATATCGAATGAATGCTCTCGAAACTTTGTCTGCTTTGAGCAAAATCTACAAAGTATATTGACATGTGTTAGTCTCAGAAATAATGAGAACTATATTTTATAATTTTATCATTATGGTACTGTTGTCTGTTTGCGCCATACTCAGCTATTTTAAAGCGCTACTTGACGGCTGAGTGTAAACAATCGAGTCATGACTTACGACAGCTATACAACGCTGAAGACAAATTGTATAACGGATCTACACGGGTCTCATTATCGTGTTCAGATTTACAAATAAGCTGGGTGCCTCTGTACAAAACAACCTTAGCGCTAAGACTACCTTAAGTCTATGTTAAGGTATGGGAGTTACGGTCACCTTAGCGCAAGGTCGCATTTATACAACGGTACCCGATAGGTATATCAATATCAATAAATTCATGATGAATCTATTACTCAAAGCGCAGCAAATCTTATGAACATGACCACATCTGCTATAGCAGGCATACACAATAATATTTCTGTATATTATCTCTCTCTATATATATATGTTTTCATGGATTACACCAAAGTGGTGAACTGTCAAGAACTCCATCTCTTTGAGATGTCCTTAACATAGAGATACAATTGACAGCTGGATCAGGGTAGTGTTCAGACATATCACCCACTCACTCACTCTCCCAAACACCCCAAGCCACCCACGCATCCACTACTCACTCACTAACCTACCCAAACAAACATTCACTCGCTCACCCAGACACCCAAACCCACCCGCACATCCACTCACTCACTCACTCACTCTCTCAAACACCCCAAACCACCCACGCATCCACTACTCACTCACTAACCTACCCAAACAAACATTCACTCACTCACCCACACACCCAAACCCATCCGCACATCGACTCACTCACTCACCCATCCACCCACCCACCCCCAACAACTCAGAATCGGTCTTGTTTGAAAAGTGCCCCCGAAGATTGAGAAAGTGTTCATGACATCTACCCCTGGTCTATGTGTCCAGACTACTGCAGGTGCTATCAGCCTACTGTAATGGTGCGATGTTATACAATAAAGCCGAGACCATACATCGATCGGCGTGTAATACAAGACACACAGCTATCGAGCAGAATCTGGCGGAAACGAGAAACGCAAGACGTTTGTATTGGCCTAAGTCCAAAGGTGGTCTATCAGCAGAACGTGTCCAGCAGGAAAGTTACCGGTGCATCTGGAGACACAAGCCAGATAGCCGCGAACACGCGCAACACACAATGTGGGGCACCGCCAACATCTGGCCAGCTACACAGATACAGGTAACGAGGCCGGAGGACGAGAGACCGAAGCAGCGCTTAGTGTGTGCCGAATAACAGCTGATTTGTTGTTTGGGGTGCAGCCAATAGATCAGGGCCCTGTTTCAGAAAGTTATCGTAGCGCTACGACTGTAGCTATACCGCTGTTCTCGAAGGGTTTTCTTGATGGTGGGTCGACAAACGGGTTGTGTTCTTTGAGGGTGCAGCAAAAAGAGGATTTAAAATAAAATACAAATCTGAAAGTGTCTTTCCTTATAAAAAGGTTGGTTGAATAAAAATAGATTCATAATATCTAACTGGGAGAGTATAACAGTGCACTCGGCTCGTACAATAGATCAGTGCTGGTGTACTAGGCATTGGCAGTTGCACACAACATGTTTACTGGACAGTGTAATACAATCAGAGTTACATGAGTACCAGCAAGTGACAATAAAACAATGACATTGGAAACGCAATATATGTGTAGGCCTACAAGATCTTGTTTGATTGTATATTGTTCAACGGGGGACGGTGGGGTAGCCTAGTGGTTAAAGCGTTGGCTCGTCACGCCGAAGACCCGGGTTCGATTCCCCACATGGGCACAATGTGTGAAGCCCATTTCTGGTGTCCCCCGCCGTGATATTGCTGGAATATTGCTAAAAGCGGCGTAAAACTAAACACAGTCAGTCAGTTATTGTTCAACGCATGCATCAACCAAGTCAGCGAGCCTGACCACCCGATCCCTTTACCCGCCTCTTACGACGGACATGGGATGCTGAGGACCAAATCTAACCCGGATCTTCAGGGGTAATATGTGTACAAGACAGGGGGAAAAGGACAAAGCACAAGACCTCGATAGTGACAGTAGATCACCGTAACGCCAACGACATCTTGGTGTTCATGAAAGAGGAGAGCGAGCGCCACATGCAGGTGTTCAACAGGTGTTATAAAAGATAGTCTGTTTGCATTGAAAACGTACCGATGAATGTCAATTTAAACAAAAAAGTAAATCGAATAAGATGAAATTAAGATTGCGAATCCTCATAATATTACCTTGCCAACTGACCATTTAAATCTCAGAATTTTATTCAACTTAGGATAAAAGTTGTTTAACAAACGATCATAGTTTCAAATCGCTATTATTGGTTTGTAATACAAGGTGTATGCACAGTAAATGAAACACCGAGAACAAGGGTTGGTCTAAGTTAACGCTCATCACGAACCGCACGCGATTTGAACGTATGATCGTTTGTTAAACAACTTTTGTCCTACAATAAATAGAATTCTGAGATTTAAATGTTCAGTTTGCAAGGTAAATTTATGAGGATTCACAGTCTTAATGTCACTTTATTTGATTTTCCTTTTTGCTTAAAGTGAAGTTCATCGGTACGTTTTCAATGCAAACAGACTATAAGCAGATTACTTCAAACCTATTATTTAACACTGTCTGTTGTACAGACAAGACGTCGGGGTTGTTAAATGCGACGGACAAATATGACGTTATAGGTGAACTCCTGCAGAATCGGTACCGAGGTCGTTGACCGGGTATGTCATGGTGTCACGTGACTCCGTGGATGTCACGTCAACACGCGCCACGGAAATTTACCGCAAGATGTACAAGATTGTGGTGGAATGTTTGCCAGATAAGATGGAGATTGGGCTACTTATAGTATCAGATAGAGTTCGACAGGTCAGCAGGTCAAACAGATTACACCCGGCCCTTGTAGACCGTAGCTACTCGCAGTGTAGCCTCGATACGAACTTAACATGTCTACTGACTGACTGACTGAGTTTGGTTTTACGCCGCTTTTAGCAATATTCCAGCAATATCACGGCGGGGGAACCCCGAAAATGGCTTCACACATTGTACCCATGTGGGGAATCGAACCCGCATCTTCGGCGTGACGAGGCAACGCTTTAACCACTGGGCTACCCCACCGCCCCACAGTCGAACAGGGGCGATGGTAGGTTTAAGGTGTGCCTAAGGCACGTAACATGTGCCATTTGCCCACTTGCTTCCAGTGCATGTAAACATTTTGCAGTTCTAAAAACCAGACTGGTTTGGAGCAGTGACTGTTATGACTACACGCTCAGTGATTGAATGACTGTTATTGTTAATAGTATAAATTTTATTAAGGTAGTATGTATTTAGTAGCAGGGGCGGATACAGGATTTTCGTTTGGGGTGGGTGCACCCCAATCCTCGGAACCCTGGGCATAAAACATAAAAACGGGGCGGGGGGCGCACCCCCGCACCCCCCCTCCGGATCCGCGCATGAGTAGGATAATATAATCTTTTCAGAACCAAGATTAATTTTGTTATAATGATGTTCTAAATCATCAGGATCAAAATTCCACCATTATGTGCATTCATATATTTAGCCTGTTTGTAGCCTAGTGGTTAAAGCGTTCGCCCGTCACGCCGAAGACCCGGGTTCGATTCCCCACATGGGTACAAAGTGTGAAGCCCATTTCTGGTGTCCCCCGCTGTGATATTGCTGGAATATTGCTATAAGCGGCGTAAAACCAAAACTCACTCACTCACTTTCTTGGGGTGTTGGATTCCGAGAAATTCTAATAAAACATGCAGAGGCAAAGTGGGAGATTTTGTGGAGATTTTGTGGTAATATATTGTAGTGAAAGAGCTCTTTAACAAGGCAGTTATCTTCCCTTGCCTCAATGTCAAGGTCAAGAGTTATTAGGTTACCGAAATACCCGATACATCCTTAGTAACACCCTCGCCCTTAAACCTCAGACAGATTATCTCCTGACTGGGTCAGAGATCAAGGGGTCACTGACCCGCTGAACAGGCCGGGATTTAATCATCGTAAGCTGTCTGGACAAATATTGAATGACCCTATTCATATATGTACATAACACTCACACCCATATTCCAGTGACACGTGACCTATCATGTCGGCTAAACACAAATCAAGATGGTCAAGATAGAGTCAGGGGTCCTATATGAGTCAAGAGGCTAGAATGGTATATGGTGAGTTCAAACAGGGTTTAAGACCGCGATGAAGGTGATTGTTCTTGACGAATCTATCATGGATACACCGCTTAGACAGTATACTGACCCCAGCCAACCGATCCTTGTTTTACCCCCTTAATACACAGCATCGGGCAAGGTAATAACAAGTACGACGCAAAACGGGATTGAACCATCAGCCTTACGATCTGCGACCAGAGACTCGACCCACTTGCCCACGGAGAACTCTGTCTGTCTGTTTGTTGAACAACGCCGCAATCAACAATATTCCAGCCATACGGCGGCGATCTGTAAATAATCGAGTCTGGACCGGACAATCCAGTGATCAACAGCATGAGCATCGATCAACGCAATTGGGATAAGATGACATGTGTCAACCATGTCAGAGAGCCTGACCACCCGATCCCGTTGGTCTCCCCTTACAGCAAGCACGGGTTGCTGAAGACCACTTCTAACCCAAATCTTCATAGGTAGAGAAGTCCACTCCCGACAGACTATTTATCCACTACATCACGTTGGCCTAACTTTACTCTGGGATTTACCTGGCCCGTCTATTTTCGACCACAGGGGAACCTGACCATGAGAATACATCTTTTGGGTCCAAGCTGAAGTCCAATAGTGGCTGGGCACAATGTGTGAAGCCCATTTCTGGTGTCCCCTGCCGTGATGTTGCTGGAATATTGCTAAAAGCGGCGTAAAACCAAACTCAGTCAATCCAATAGTGGCATGCTCAAGAATTTTACTTCTGGTTTATAGTTCAACATGCACAGCATTTTGCGTGTGATAGATGAGGGTTATAGTACAGCTACGATGTCCAGGTTATAATGACGATATTGACAACGTTTTGCCAATAAGCATAAGTCAGAGTTAAAGTATTGTCACGATCCATCAAGCTCAGTTTGTACAAAGGCAATGTTAAAGTATTTTTCCGATCACCTTACCGCTGTGATTGCACAATGTCAATGATAAACCACTGTTACATCACCTTAGCTTTGGGATTGTACAAAACCAATATTACAGGACTGGGCACCGAAGCGACAGGGCCGCTTGTCAGTTCCAAAACAGACTAACATTTTGTGTGAGTGAGTGAGTAAGTGAGTGAGTGAGAGATTTGTGGTTTGTGTGGTGGTGGTGGTGGAATTGGGTTTAACGTCGTGTATGAGAATATTTCGCTCATATGACGACGTGCATGCGTGTGTATGTGCGGCTGCTTGTACTAGCCTGAAACTGGTTTTATAGTGCTAGCCCACTGAGATACCATGCCGCAGTGAAGCATGAATACCCCAACTCAGACACATTATACTGACTCCGAGCCGACCAGTCCTTGTTGTACCCATTAATGCCGAGCGCCAGGCAGGGACCAACAATTACCATATTTTAACGTCTTTTGGTATGACGCGGTCGGGGATCGAACCCGCGAGCTTCCGCACTTCCAGGCGGACGCTCTAACCACTACACCACGGAGGCGGTCTTTGTGGTTTGTGATTCAGTTTACATTAAAGGGCGAGTCAGCAATAAGGCAAATCATATTGAACATTTCAATATTGACATCCATGTAAATAGCACAAGGATTAAATGAATGGTGAAAGTAAACCATGTCAATTAAACTGTATGAGAAAAAGCTCTATATTTTACAGACGGTCGATATAAACTCACTAGCAAAATTATGTATACGCTTGGAACCAAATTTCTAACATATCAAACACAACTGACAAGAGTCACCCCAAACACCCCAAATACATCATTTTGCTGTGACCACATCCTGGTTAATGTTAAATCAAACATAGGAGCCTTTTCTTTGTCTTTCAGTTCAGCTTAAACTGAGTCAGGCGTGAAACGGCATTAATATTCCAGCTCAATCATGGCTGAGTGCGTTCTGATTATGTGGAGGACGGCTGTAGGCAGCTATACCTCGCTGGTTGTGTGGAGGACGGCTGTAGGCAGCAATACCTCGCTGGTTGTGTGGAGGACGGCTGTAGGCAGCAATACCTCGCTGGTTGTGTGGAGGACGGCTGTAGGCAGCAATACCTCGCTGGTTGTGTGGAGGACGGCTGTAGGCAGCAATACCTCGCTGGTTGTGTGGAGGACGGCTGTAGGCAGCAATACCTCGCTGGTTGTGGTGGAGGACGGCTGTAGGCAGCAATACCTCGCTGGTTGTGTGGAGGACGGCTGTAGGCAGCAATACCTCGCTGGTTGTGTGGAGGACGGCTGTAGGCAGCAATACCTCGCTGATTGTGTGGAGGACGGCTGTAGGCAGCAATACCTCGCTGATTTGTGTGGAGGACGGCTGTAGGCAGCAATACCTCGCTGGTTGTGTGGAGGACGGCTGTAGGCAGCAATACCTCGCTGGTTGTGTGGAGGACGGCTGTAGGCAGCAATACCTCGCTGGTTGTGTGGAGGACGGCTGTAGGCAGCAATACCTCGCTGGTTGTGTGGAGGACGGCTGTAGGCAGCAATACCTCGCTGGTTGTGTGGAGGACGGCTGTAGGCAGCAATACCTCGCTGGTTGTGTGGAGGACGGCTGTAGGCAGCAATACCTCGCTGGTTGTGTGGAGGACGGCTGTAGGCAGCAATACCTCGCTGGTTGTGTGGAGGACGGCTGTAGGCAGCAATACCTCGCTGGTTGTGTGGAGGACGGCTGTAGGCAGCAATACCTCGCTGGTTGTGTGGAGGACGGCTGTAGGCAGCAATACCTCGCTGGTTGTGTGGAGGACGGCTGTAGGCAGCAATACCTCGCTGGTTGTGTGGAGGACGGCTGTAGGCAGCAATACCTCGCTGGTTGTGTGGAGGACGGCTGTAGGCAGCAATACCTCGCTGGTTGTGTGGAGGACGGCTGTAGGCAGCAATACCTCGCTGGTGGTGTGGAGGACGGCTGTAGGCAGCAATACCTCGCTGGTTGTGTGGAGGACGGCTGTAGGCAGCAATACCTCGCTGGTTGTGTGGAGGACGGCTGTAGGCAGCAATACCTCGCTGGTTGTGTGGAGGACGGCTGTAGGCAGCAATACCTCGCTGGTGGTGTGGAGGACGGCTGTAGGCAGCAATACCTCGCTGGTGGTGTGGAGGACGGCTGTAGGCAGCAATACCTCGCTGGTTGTGTGGAGGACGGCTGTAGGCAGCAATACCTCGCTGGTTGTGTGGAGGACGGCTGTAGGCAGCAATACCTCGCTGGTTGTGTGGAGGACGGCTGTAGGCAGCAATACCTCGCTGGTTTTGTGGAGGACGGCTGTAGGCAGCAATACCTCGCTGGTTGTGTGGAGGACGGCTGTAGGCAGCAATACCTCGCTGATTGTGTGGAGGACGGCTGTAGGCAGCAATACCTCGCTGGTTGTGTGGAGGACGGCTGTAGGCAGCAATACCTCGCTGGTTGTGTGGAGGACGGCTGTAGGCAGCAATACCTCGCTGGTTGTGTGGAGGACGGCTGTAGGCAGCAATACCTCGCTGGTTGTGTGGAGGACGGCTGTAGGCAGCAATACCTCGCTGGTTGTGTGGAGGACGGCTGTAGGCAGCAATACCTCGCTGGTTGTGTGGAGGACGGCTGTAGGCAGCAATACCTCGCTGATTGTGTGGAGGACGGCTGTAGGCAGCAATACCTCGCTGGTTGTGTGGAGGACGGCTGTAGGCAGCTATACCTCGCTGGTTGTGTGGAGGACGGCTGTAGGCAGCAATACCTCGCTGGTTGTGTGGAGGACGGCTGTAGGCAGCAATACCTCGCTGGTTGTGTGGAGGACGGCTGTAGGCAGCAATACCTCGCTGGTTGTGTGGAGGACGGCTGTAGGCAGCAATACCTCGCTGGTTGTGTGGAGGACGGCTGTAGGCAGCAATACCTCGCTGATTGTGTGGAGGACGGCTGTAGGCAGCAATACCTCGCTGATTGTGTGGAGGACGGCTGTAGGCAGCAATACCTCGCTGGTTGTGTGGAGGACGGCTGTAGGCAGCAATACCTCGCTGGTTGTGTGGAGGACGGCTGTAGGCAGCAATACCTCGCTGATTGTGTGGAGGACGGCTGTAGGCAGCAATACCTCGCTGGTTGTGTGGAGGACGGCTGTAGGCAGCAATACCTCGCTGGTTGTGTGGAGGACGGCTGTAGGCAGCAATACCTCGCTGGTGGTGTGGAGGACGGCTGTAGGCAGCAATACCTCGCTGGTTGTGTGGAGGACGGCTGTAGGCAGCAATACCTCGCTGGTGGTGTGGAGGACGGCTGTAGGCAGCAATACCTCGCTGGTTGTGTGGAGGACGGCTGTAGGCAGCAATACCTCGCTGGTGGTGTGGAGGACGGCTGTAGGCAGCAATACCTCGCTGGTTGTGTGGAGGACGGCTGTAGGCAGCAATACCTCGCTGGTTGTGTGGAGGACGGCTGTAGGCAGCAATACCTCGCTGGTGGTGTGGAGGACGGCTGTAGGCAGCAATACCTCGCTGATTGGTTTAACTGATGTGCTGCTTGACTGTAATGTGTAATGGCAGATGACAGAGTGAGTGAGTTAAACGCAGTTTCCCGAACCATTGCAAGGAAGACTGTGAAGGCAAAACCCACCACCTATAGAAGGGAAGACTGTGAAGGCCATGTATACTCACTGCCTATAGGAAGAAAGACTGTGAAGGCCTTCTTTACTCACCACCAACAGTAGGGAAGACTGTGAAGGCCATGTATACTCACTGCCTATAGGAGGGAAGACTGTGAAGGCCTTGTATACTCACCACCTACAGGAAGGAAGACTGTGAAGGCCATACTCACCGCTTACAGTAGGGAAGACTGTGAAGGCCATGTATACTCACCACCTACAGGAAGGAAGACTGTGAAGGCCTTGTATACTCACCGCCTATAGGAGGGAAGACTGTGAAGGCCATGTATACTCACCGCCTATAGGAGAGAAGACTGTGAAGGCTATGTATACTCACCGCCTATAGGAGGGAAGACTGTGAAGGCCATGTATACTCACCACCTATAGGAGGGAAGACTGTGAAGGCCATGTATACTCACCGCCTATAGAAGGGAAGACTGTGAAGGCCATGTATACTCACCGCCTATAGGAGAGAAGACTGTGAAGGCTATGTATACTCACCGCCTATAGGAGGGAAGACTGTGAAGGCCATGTATACTCACCGCCTATAGGAGGGAAGACTGTGAAGGCCATGTATACTCACCGCCTATAGAAGGGAAGACTGTGAAGGCCATGTATACTCACCGCCTATAGAAGGGAAGACTGTGAAGGCCATGTATACTCACCGCCTATAGAAGGGAAGACTGTGAAGGACATGTATACTCACCGCCTATAGAAGGGAAGACTGTGAAGGCCATGTATACTCACCGCCTATAGGAGGGAAGACTGTGAAGGCCATGTATACTCACCGCCTATAGAAGGGAAGACTGTGAAGGCCATGTATACTCACCGCCTATAGAAGCGAAGACAGTGAAGGCCTTGTATACTCACCACCTATAGGAGGGATGACAGTGAAGGCCTTGTATACTCACCGCCTATAGAAGGGAAGACTGTGAAGACCATGTATACTCACCGCCTATAGGAGGGAAGACTGTGAAGGCCATGTATACTCACCGCCTATGGGAGGGAAGACTGTGAAGGCCATGCCCTGGAACATCGCCACCAGTCCGAAGGAAGACGTAAGGTACTCAATACCGAGGTTGTCAGCCAGCACGATTGTCCGCATTGATACCGCCACAGCTGAAACAGCAACAGGAAGACATGTACAATGATCGTAGCCCATGTGACAACTCTCAGCGACGGGTATGTTTTCTATTCAAAGCGTAAATCTAACTGTTCGATGCAAAACGAGAATCATCTGATAAAAGACATCAAATAATACGTTATTTTCCGTTTTCACGAACATTTAAGAAAAAATCATTTGCATGTTTCAACCATTCGGGGGTTTTTTTGGGGTTAAATTCAGCAATTACGATTCATATTTCTATCTTAGAATTTCACTGCATGTAAGTGTGTTGTGCCAGGTGCTGTGTCTAGACTCACCCATACAAAGCCCGAAGACGCCCGCACAGCAGGCCAGAAGGGCAAAGCTATTGCAAAATGGTAGGACGAAGTTGACAGCAGAGGCCGTGAGTAATGCGAAGATGTAGATGACGATGCTGCGAATGTTGAAAAAATCGGTGACGAAGCCGGCGAAGATGCGGCCGATGGTGTTGGATATGCCGACGATGGAGATGAGGAAGGCAGCCTGGGACCTGTCCAGGCCGATAGAGACAGCGTAGTCGGGGACATACGTGAGCGGCACGGACTGCACTGGAGGAGATGGAGACAAGAGTCAGTATGGAATCAGCAATATGGCTGCAGGTGTTATGATGCGTACGGAGTTCTCTTTGACGAGATACAACGATAATGAACAGTTAGGAGTGAGTCTGGATTAAACCTACTTGGAGCCGTATTTTGGAAGAAAGTTCCGTTCTCAAAATGTTGAATGTAGAATTTACCCTAACCCTCTTCCAAACAATTCAGCGTTCAATATGCACCAATCTGCATGGGGCACTAATCCCAGCTGCCAGACTGAATGTTATGTGGTCGGTCTGCACTATCTGTCCCCATGTACAAGATGTGCTGCATCTACCTGTCCCCATGTACAATATATGCAAGGATGTACCGACCTGTCCACATGGTGAAGGTGTGCTGTATCTACCTGTCCCCATGTACAATATATGCAAGGATGTACCGACCTGTCCACATGGTGAAGGTGTGCTGTATCTACCTGTCCCCATGTACAATATATGCAAGGATGTACCGACCTGTCCACATGGTGAAGGTGTGCTGTATCTACCTGTCCCCATGTACAATATATGCAAGGATGTACCGACCTGTCCACATGGTGAAGGTGTGCTGTATCTACCTGTCCCCATGTACAATATATGCAAGGATGTACCGACCTGTCCACATGGTGAAGGTGTGCAGTATCTACCTGTCCCCATGTACAATATATGCAAGGATGTACCGACCTGTCCACATAGTGAAGGTGATGAGGAGCAGTAGGAAGACCGGCTTCTTGAACAGGTCCGTGCCCAGGGTGTACTTCAGACGAGCTAGCCAGCCCTTCTTGAAGCGGCAGCGCTCGTCAATACTCTCTATCTCCTCCACGTCCATATCCTGGGTCATCTCGGCCAGAAACTGCGACAACGTCCGACAGTGCTGGAACTGCTGTAGGTGACGTATGCTGCCCGAGTAGAAGATATCCTTCCGCAGAATCGGCTTGGAGAGTCCTCGCTTGATCTTCTCCACCTGTAGGTCGTCTAGCGAGTTCTTCATCATGATGTTGTGGGTACTTTTGTGTAAACGCTGTAGGGGAACTGCAACGTGCAGACGACTGATGTTCTCGGCGCTCTTCGTCATCCTTGCTGCGGTATCCTGTCTCATGTTGGATGGATCCATGGGTAGTAACACATCCGGCTTTGTATCACGGTACTTCTTGCTGAGGAGGGGTTTCAAACATTCGTATATATCCTCCTTAGATTTGACACACTCGTTCTCTTCACTGGACCCTCCGTAGCCACTACTTCCGCCCGTGTCGTTATCTCTCTCAAACTTCTGGCGCAGTTTCTGTTCCACAAAAGGCCGGAACAGGAAGCCGCATACCAAACAGTTCAGAACGAGGCCGGACAAGATGAGAACTGTCCCCCTCCAGTCGAATGCATGAAGAAGATTGTCACATATATGCGCGTACGCGAATGTTCCAACACCGGAACCACTGGTTGCTATGCCCGTTGCTATGGCACGTCTTTTATTGAAATATAGTCCAACAATGATTATGGCTGGCAGGAAGACCATACTAAACCCGATACCTGCAGACAATACAAATATAGAGGTAAATACCTAAACATGACAAAGATAAAGGGTTTTCATACGCGTTGGTAATATACACCAAGAGTTAATAGACACAAAGAACATGTAAAACCTACCTTCTATAACACGTTACATTTTGATGTTGTAGGACCTAATCCTACAGGACCTGCCCACAATAATGTTGTAGGACCTAATCCTACAGGACCTAGACACAACACTGTTGTAGGACCTAATCCTACAGGACCTAGACACAACAATGTTGTAGGACCTAATCCTACAGGACGTAGACACAACAATGTTGTAGGGATGTTGTAGGACATGATCCTACAGGACCTAGACACAACAAGTGGGGAAGTTGTTAGACGTAAGAACCTCTAACGCCTTTAACACAGCCCATGGTGGCGTTGTGTGACCTATCCCCAATTACGCCTTTCAGGTATATTTGTAAGAACCTCTAACAAAGCCCATGGTGGCGTTGTGTGACCTACCCCCAATGACGCCGTACGTGATGATGAGTGTTTCAACGTTGGGGGCGAACATGCTGGTGACGAAGCCGATGGTGGATAACAGCGTTCCAAATATGGTGACCTGACGACAGCTGAACCGCCGCAACAAGAAACTGACCAGTGGACCTGTAGGAAGGGAATAGACAGTGTTTCTTCACAGTGTCATGACATGAAATAGTACATCGCTACAACTGTTAAACAGTGTTTCTACACAGTGGCATAACACGAAATACTGCCTCGGTACAGAACACTGTGTCACTACTCACTGGAAACCTAGTGTTATAAGTGTCACTACTCACTGGAAACCTAGTGTTATAAGTGTCACTACTCACTGGAAACCTAGTGTTATAAGTGTCACTACTCACTGGAAACCTAGTGTTATAAGTGTCACTACTCACTGGAAACCTAGTGTTATAAAATGAAATCAAATCAAATACTTGCCGCAGTATATCCATAAATCTACCCAATGAAACACTGTATTCACTAAATCAAGATCAGAATACGACTTCTTATATTCCATTCAAACCTTTCTCTGCATCTCTACTTTAAAAAGTAATAACCCAAATATTGTGCATCATTTGAAATGGAAGCCACAAAATCATTTCCACATCTCTACCAAAATCAGAGTCGATTGTACAATTTTGACTATATCATGAGCAGATATTTGTTTCAGCAGTATTACAGCTGTATGATGTTGTTTGATGGTGTCATGTGCAAACAGAATGCCAACAAACAACATGCTACCTAGAAGCAACCTGATCTCCGTCAGATAACAGCATCTGACCAAAACTAAAATATAAAGAAAATGCCAGAAACAAATTTATTGTTAAAAACGTTAACCTATCAATAGTTCTTATCTGATCCACGTGTCTGAATGTTTGCCAAAAGGAGATTGTTCCACTGTTGGTCTGAACACTACCGAGTTCCTGGTTGCCGGATACCCGTGAAGATCCGGTTTAGAATTGATCTTCAGTAACCCATGCTTGTCGTAAGAGGCGACTAACGGATCGGGTGGTCAGGCTCACTGACTTGGTTGACACATGTCACCGTATCCCAATGCTCATACTGTTGATCACTGGATTGTCTGGCACAGACTCGATTATTTACTGACCGCCGCCATATAGCTGGAATAGTGCGGCGTAAAAGTAAATTCACTCATTCAGTCACTCCTGGTCATGTGGTCAGTCTGCAGCTCGTTTCAAGGGTGAGGTCAAGTGATTCCATGCGGACAATGGTCTCCTTAGTAGACATCCACGATACTGGCACGACGAGGTCATCGTCCAAGAGGATGACGTAATAATAATAATGCTGAATATTTCCATGCTTTATATCCTGTTCCAAGCGCAATCAGACATTATTACCCCGGATAACCCAAGCTGCTTGTGAGGCACTAGAAGTTTAATAGTCACATGTCAAATTCCGTCGGGCGACCCATTTTCTGCTGGGTGGACAGAGGCAATTATAAACAAAATCACTTGCCTAAGGTGAGACCGTTGTGGGACAGGACTGAAGTCCAAGAAACTCTCAGGAGTCAAGCTGCCAAACATGGTCACCCATCGAAGAGCTCTCTACGCCCAACGTTGCTTAACTTGTGACCTGAACTCTATGCGCATGGACCACACACCACCACACGTCCGGTACGTTTGCACCAGCACAGGATGCCATCCCTGTTGTGCACACATGGCTCCGTGCCCCGCTATACGATTAAAGTAATTGGTCCTTCCAGGTCGTCCCGTCACTCCCCAAACCATACATCTGAGACCCTACCATCGAGGTCATGTTTGAAAACTTTGGAATTCTGGAATTCGCGAAAGACGTTAAGCCTGTACAGTATGTGGATTCACCTGTGGCGTCTAGGCCTGGTTTTCCAATTGACGTAACCTTCAGCCCAGTGTAAATCATCCACAGGGAAAATATTGCGCATGTCGTTCCGCATGTCATTTCTGAGTGTGGTGGCAGTCACAACGTCTTGCCGTCTTGTCACAATTAGGGAAAAACTTTCTTCCCGATGTATGGTGGTCACTGGAATGCTGTCGACTGTCTGAATTCAGCTGATCCAAATGTTTGATATCAATTCCATACCTTGCTGATTACACTCTGGTTGGCAGCAAAGGCGTCTGCGTCATAACGCAGCGTTCCCCAAGTGCAACTGTCTACTTCTTTGGTCTTCCTGACATTGAGGAGGTAAAGCCGCATTCACGTGTTTATAACCCTCAGCATCAAATGCTGTTGCGCTCTCTGATGATGAAGTACAAAAATTCATCCATGCAAATGTTTGCAAGCACCTGACTGAATGCCGTCCATAATGAAACTTAGGCCCAACAGGGGATATCTAATGATTGCCTACAGGGATATGTTAATGTATGATTGTTGTATAATTTTTCATATCTTGGACACTTTGTCCTTTCAGTTGTATACAACAGCACATGACGGCCCGGAATCATTCGTAACCACTCGTCAAATTCCGGAAGTGGTAGAACACGTTACGGTCGAAAGGTGAAGCGAGTGACTAGGCGGTGATCACAAGGCGATGCTGTTTGTAATAGTACCTGAACTATTAGACTAAGGCTTAGTCTCTGAATATATATATATAATTTTGATAGTAACAAACAAGCCCATTTATATTGTAAAGGAGCCCTAGGGAGACCAGAGATCCTGAACCTGAGGAAATCTAGACTTGCTTTATTTAGGGCTTTAGCACTGCAAAGAGGGCTTGGCAGTAGGGAAATTAATGTTGTTCAGGGACTGTGAGACAGACTACTGAACTATCAATGTACTGGATTTGTTCATGGCCCGATTGTTATCAATAGCTGGTACGTAAGGTTATTAAGCACGATGTGTTATAGAGCTGACGTTACACAGCGATAACGAATGCTTCAGTAGGTTTCACTTTGCGATCAATGTTGCTTCCCTAAAAAAATATGAGTTCATTGGACCTTGACCTTGCTTGTTTATCTTGCAAGGTTCGGGCATCGATGCATTACAACATAGCCCCTCAGTAATCCGGACATTGAATTATACGGGCAGGTCCAGATAGCTTCATCCGTGATAGACCTTTTAAGGTCTCGTCGGATCGTCGTATCCAAATAAGGGATCGTCGTATTCAAATCTCAAAGTAGTTTGTCAGTTCGTCCTGTAGGATATTAACGACAATATCGGGTACAGCCTATAGCTGACGAGATAGTTGCTGACATCAGCGACTGGCAATTATTGATGGCCCGCACGAGAGGTTCTGCGCCACGATCTGTTGCCTATAGGTGTTGTGTATGTGATATAGGTTTGGTGTATACTAGATATATATAATTAATATATACTTCCTTTCAACAGTTTAGACTCACTAGTGTAATTATAGCCACTTACTTTAGGCAACTGTTCTAAACTACATTTTGCAAAACATTCCATACTGTTTATAGGTATTGTTTACACATGAACTGATGTATTGTAAAACAAATTCGTAACGTTAAAAAGATTATTGAGTTCAGTAAATGATAAAAATCAGTGTAAGTTGGCGAATTCTTAACAAAACTTTACACAAAAACGCAGCTGTTCACATGCACGATATTTGCACATGTTTTTCAGCAATTTGATGCATGATCCTTGTGCAATTCATCTGCATAAGGTTTGCAGTTGGTTCCCCCAAGTGGAGAAATCAATCTTCGATGTAACCATATAGATATATATAGCATATAGTGAGTGTTGTAGGTGAGTCTAAACTTTTGATGATTACTAGTATTTGATAGGTGTTTGGTACAGATGAGTGAAAGAAAGTATCGTTAATATTGAAAGTACAGTTATTATGTTTAACCAGCATTCGTCAACAATTAGCAAATAAATTTGCAACCACGTGACCCGTAACAGGTTTCAAAGGTTTGAATTTGTTGTGAAAATACAAACTGTATTGGTTTTCAGATATAGATATCTAACCTATACATTAGCAACTGTATATTATGCGAATGTTTCATTTTGCAAAAATAAATAAAATATATAACCGTGAAGCAGTATTCATTAAGTGCCGACCAAGGGGGAAATCATGTCGCACATAAAATCAACTAAGCTATAATTTCCTTTGCTCCTAGTTGTATATTTGATATAGATTTGATAAATCAGATATACATATTTGATGAACGTCTATACATACCAAATTGGGGAAATAAATTATATAGACATGAATTGAGACTACAAACCTGCTGTACTGGAAGGCAATGCTACATGCGGGCTCTAACGACTATTCTACATACGGGTTCTACATACGGGTACTCACCCATCAACATGCTCATCCCGAGCAATGTAGAGCCCACCCAGGCGGTTTTAGATTTCGATTCTCCAAAGTAGTCCAAGAGTTCCAGCATTATAACCCCGAACGAAAACATTGTTCCATCCAGAATAAAGTTTATCATGAAAGAGGCAAAGCACACCACCCACCCCCAGCCTCCGTCTGGTATAATGTCATCATGGTCGTCAGACTGGTTCGTCTCTGGCGCCGAGCCACCCTGCTGCTTAGGCTCAGCAGCGTTCTCGCCTTTAGAAGTCATTCCGTTCTTCATGTTTCGTTTGTTGATTGTTTTATATCACTGATGTGTTTACCCTGTCCTCATGGCAGGTAGATCAGCAACCCAAGACACTGGACGAAGTTACATAGTACCTGCAAACGACACAATAGACGCTCAGACATAGGAGTATATATGCGACCGATACATGGCAAGGCGAGTGATAAAACGTAATAATGAATGTTTTCATTGAATATAGAATCTGACATTGATAACACATGGATATACCAGGTATTATTCCTCATGAATAATCGTGACGTCACACTGGAGACGCATGATGTTATCGCATCATTACACTGCAGTCGTATGACGTTATGGTGACGTCAACCGGGCACCACTTGATGTTAATATTCACCAAACCTCACGAAAACATGTAATACCTCTCTCCCTTCTGAAAAAAAAACCATACAGTTTTGTAACAAGAACCACATACAAGACACTGGATTATCTGGTTCAGAATCAATCCTCATAGAGCTCGAATACTGCATGAGTGAGTGAGGCGTTATGCACTAGACAAAAAACGAACGCGGAATTTGCAGACACATCTCTGTGAGTCTGTATATACGACCTGTATATTGGACGTGTACATCGTCAGTGCCGTGCACCCTACGACACTGGCTCCGATAGTGACTAAGACAGTTGTACTGAAAAACCCAGTACTCAGTACCGGGTAAACAGACGGTTGTGTGTGTAACAACCCACGATTCAGTGTAACAACCCACGGTTCAGTGTACGGTATTCATCAATGTTTGCTGTAAACATTCATTTGCTACATTACATCAGCAAATTAGTATCAGAAAGATGTACACAACTGCGTCTGTCTGTACAAAGGAGGACGTTCCGCTCTAACGACATCCACGTTCGCTGTAAACGTTGACGTCTTGTTCAGCCCCATTGCATACCCCTGTTCAATCCGGCCAACCCGCCTGAGCTAGACGCTGACAAGCCGTCAAGAGGCAACTGAAATCGTTTTTTGTGTGAGTACTCCCCAACTGACGTTAAACAACAACGGTTTTAAGTTAACGTATGTCAGAAACAATTTTTAAACGAATAGGTCTGTCTATGTTAAAGACCATTTAACATGGCACATCTCAATTTCGATCCACGACCATACGATTTTAGTACAGGCAAGGAACGAAACGCTGTACAGACTTGGCCACAACGGTGAAGTTTATGGTGTGGATGATACTTGTTCATCAGAAGATGAATGGTACAAACTCTCATCTCTCAGTCTCTCATCTGGAATAGTGCCCAAGTGCTTTAAACAGGCAGTAATTAAACCTTTGATAAAGAAGCCATCATTGGAACCCGAAAACCTCAGCAGTTACCGACCAGTTTCTAATCTTTCGTTTCTTTCTAAAGTCCTTGAAAAAGTTGTCAAAAGTCAGATGCTTGGGCATTTACAGAACTTCGATCTGATTGATAAGTATCAATCTGCCTACAGGACTGCACATAGCACCGAAACAGCTCTCAGTGGTGTTCTGGACAACATCAAGATGTCCGTAGATGACGGAAATATTGCCCTGCTCGTTCTTTTAGACCTCTCAGCCGCCTTTGATACTATTGACCATGCAACATTGTTATCAAGGCTACAGATCGAATATGGACTAAACGGCACAGTCCTAAAATGGTTTTCATCATATCTAGAAGATCGTGTACAGTCTGTTCAAATTAACAGGGCACTGTCAGACAGACATGTCCTTGAATGTGGAGTGCCACAAGGCTCAGTTTTAGGACCAATACTGTACACTATGTACATCAAACCCTCTGGGACAACTGATCTCTGATCATTGCATTGGGCGGCACTTTTATGCTGATGACTCCCAATTGGTGGATAGCTTTAAACCAAGTCCAGACAGTCAGCAGAAGGCTAAGGCCGTGTCTCAATGATGTCAGGTCATGGATGACAAACAACAAACTGGTCTTAAACGATAGTAAAACAGAAGCCATCATTATTGCCCCACGTCAAAGACAGCAGAAGTGTCAGCTTTCTTCCATTTCCATTGGACAATCCTCAATCCCTTTCTCTCCCTCTGTAAGAAATCTTGGTGTTTATTTGGACTCAAATTTGTCTATGAAAAGTCATATCAACCACCTGTGCAAAATGTGTCACTTCCATCTCCGAAATATTGGTTCCATACGCAACATCTTAACCATGGAAGCAACGGCCACCGTCGTTCGATCTCTAGTTCTATCACGCTTGGACTACTGTAATAGTTTACTAATTGGTATCTCTGATGAACAATTACAGCGCCTGCAGAAAATACAGAATCAGGCTGCTCGCATCGTCACAAGGACAAAGCTATGCTCTCATATTACGCCAGCTCTCAGTTCTCTTCACTGGCTCCGGATCCGCGAGAGGATTGAATTTAAACTGCTCTCCCTTGTTTATCAGTCTGTTAATAGCATTGGTCCAGCATACCTCCATGATTTGATAACACTGTACAAACCTGAAAGATCTCTCCGCTCCAGCGATCAACTCTTGCTAGTTGTTCCTGTGTTCAAACTCAAAACCTTTGGTGCAAATTCATTTTCTCATGCTGCTGCCGCTCTCTGGAACTCTCTACCATCGGATCTTAAAACCTCTCCATCACTCCCAGTCTTTAAGTCCAAGCTCAAAACTCACCTCTTCAAGAAATATCTATGACGTCAACTTTCCTGTACATAGAACCTGTATATATGTTATTAGAGCATGTCCCTGGGTGATGTGGATGAGGCGCTATAAAAGTACTCTTATTCTTCTTCTTATTATTATTATTATTATTACAAACTACCCTATGGAACATGACACGGGTGTTACCCTGGTATGAGCAGTGCACGTGATTTCTATGTCAGAATGGGTAACACCCCAACAAAACACCTCCGTCAATAGACATGCTGGACGGTTAAATAACGAGGAACATTTCTTTTCAATCTTCCGAAAGATACATTGTTGTAAAACGTTACCCACAAACAATTTGAAATACGAAATATAACTATAGATCTTTTTCAACTGTGCAAAAATAAATATTTAATTATATTTTTCTATTTTACCTTTCTTGTAAACACCTACCATCTATCGATAATCCCGGAACTTTCTTTCACTATGGCAATTGAATGAAGATAAACGATAATGACGTCACGGATGACGTCACATTTCAGTACCTGATATAGATGTCGGTGTTGTATAAACGTTGTAATGCCCAGTGGAGGACTTCCATGTGTGAACCCATGATACATTCAGTTAACACGTGAATATGCTGACTATGGAAAACGCGTAATCAGTACCGCAGGGTCAAGGGTCAAGGTTAGTGGTCACTGGGGTCAGATGGGTATGCGATATGTATGTGTACACAAGGGTATTGTATAGATAACACGCTGATTACGGCCAGGGTCATACATTTGTATTGCCATTCTGAAACATACATTATGATTATAAAATGTGTGTTAACATGTGTTTCGCTTTACCAGTTGTGTGGTGGTGGCTGGTCGTTATAATGGACACTACTGCATTGGGGTCACATCTGGTCCAGTGACCTAGGATATGCTACCTCAACTCGTGCTCAGTCTCAGTCAACTTTGGCCCCGTTCATGAAAGCCATCTTAGACCTACGACGGGCGTAAGTCTATGTTGAAGTATGGGAGTTACGATCATCTTAACGTTACGATTGTTTTGAGGAACCCATTTAACGAAGCAGTCGTGGCGAAACTACTGTCGTAAGTCTGTGTTCTACTTTGGGAGCTTTACGATTGCTTTGAGGACGGGGTCCTGGATATAGTCTTGCGACAGTCGTAATGCTGAGACAAACGTAACACACCTAAGTTAACATACACTTACGACTATCGTTGTGCTGAGACTATCGTAACACACCTAAGTTAACATACACTTACGACTATCGTAGTGCTGAGACTATCGTAACACACCTAAGTTAACATACACTTACGACTATCGTAGTGCGACTATCGTAACACACCGTTAACATACACTTGCTATCGTAGAGACTATCGTAACACACCTAAGTTAACATACACTTACGACTATCGTAGTGCTGAGACTATCGTAACACACCTAAGTTAACATACACTTACGACTATCGTAGTGCTGAGACTATCGTAACACACCTAAGTTAACATACACTTACGACTATCGTAGTGCTGAGACTATCGTAACACACCTAAGTTAACATACACTTACGACTATCGTAGTGCTGAGACTATCGTAACACATCTAAGTTAACATAAACTTACGACTATCGTAATGCTGAGGCAATCGTAACACACCTAAGTTAACATACACTTACGACTATCGTAGTGCTGAGACTATCGTAACACACCTAAGTTAACATAAACTTACGACTATCGTAGTGCTGAGACTATCGTAACACACCTAAGTTAACATACACTTACGACTATCGTAGTGCTGAGACTATCGTAACACACCAAAGTTAACATACACTTACGACTATCGTAGTGCTGAGACTATCGTAACACACCTAAGTTAACATACACACGACTATCGTTAGTGCGACTATCGTAGTGCTGAGACTATCGTAACACACCTAAGTTAACATACACTTACGACTATCGTAGTGCTGAGACTATCGTAACACACCTAAGTTAACATACACTTACGACTATCGTAGTGCTGAGACTATCGTAACACACCTAAGTTAACATACACTTACGACTATCGTAGTGCTGAGACTATCGTAACACACCTAAGTTAACATACACTTACGACTATCGTAGTGCTGAGACTATCGTAACACACTTAAGTTAACATACACTTACGGCTATCGTAGTGCTGAGACTATCGTAAACACCTAAGTTAACATACACTAACGATACGTACTGAGACTATCGTAACACATCGTAGTGCTGAGACGTATCGTGAGAATCACAACACAGTTAGTTGAACATACACTTACGATTATCGTAGTGCTGAGACTATCGTAACACACTTAAGTTAACATACACTTACGGCTATCGTAGTGCTGAGACTATCGTAACGACACCGTAGTTAACATACGTAACTTACGACTATCGTACACTTGCTATCGTAGTGACTATCTATAACACACACCTAAGTTAACATACACTTACGACTATCGTCATG